CCTAGGAAAGTTGGGACGTCTTGGTCCAGAGTATCTGAGACTCTTGACTGTAAAGATGTATAGATCTCTGGAACGTTTCTGGTGACTGTGGTCTCTGGTTCTCTTCTTTGGCTGCTTACAGTCATGTGTCTTTCTTTAGCTCCCTCTGCCGTCCGTCGCCCCTTGCCTTTCTTCTTGCCCTAGGCATTCTTACAGTGTTGAGGGTTTCAGTTGTAGCATCTGGCTGACTGTCTTCCCAGTCTCACAGCTTGACCTGTTGTCACCACTGCTGTCCACTGCCTCCACCTTGCTCCTCCTCTTTTGTTTCCCAGCTCAGCCCCCACAACTAAAAGCCAGGGGGAAAGCCTGGAGAGGCTTTTGGCTTTTCATTGGACCTAATGTGGCCTCCCCAGAGCCAGAGAGGCAGCCCACTGAGTGAGCTAGCCAGTGTAGCTTATGTAGCTTCCAAAAGGGGCATTCAGACCATCACAACTTTCCTTTTACCACAGTCAAAGCCATCAAGAATTGTTTAAACTAGTAACGCCCTTGTATTATAACAGCAATTGTAAAACAGCCACTGAGGCGTGTGTTTGAATCCAGTTACACTCTTGTGTCTTTAGAACCAGTTACAGCTAGATGAAAATGATTTCTGGGATGTGTCTTGTTCACCAAAGCTTATAATAACAAAAAGGGCTAGTGCAGACCATGCCACAGGCCCAAGCTAATTAAGGCGCCCCTTGAGGAGTCCGGGCAATCAGTTGTGATCATTTTGAGGGTCCCCCCCCAAAAATGTCCATGGAGTATTCTAGGTGCCTGGTACTAGCAAAAGGATAATCCTGCTAGTTATTTATTTGACTGAAATTTTTTCACTCAAGGCACCCAGGACAGGAAAAAAAAGTCACATTGCCCCATTCCCTAAGGGAACATCAGGAACGCTTAAGGTGGGAGCATAAACGGCATAATGCTAGCAGCTATAGCTCACAGTGCTTCCTGTCTGCTAGGTGCCCCAGGGAAGGATGGCCTCTCTTGTTCACCGTCCCCAAAACTACCTCTAAAATGTTTTCATCTCCCGAAACTCTTGGCCATCCTTCCTTAATCCCCCTATTTCTTCCACTCCTGGTCGAGTAACTCATCTATTAATCTATTTCTTCCCCTGTACACTTTCCTATTTTAGGGACATTTTAAAATCCTATAGTGGATAGTCTTTACTGTGATTTACTGTGACCAGCTTTTTTACACTTAGTACAGCACTTTCAAGAGTACTTTATGTTAGAGTACATGTTTATCTCCTGTTCTTGACTTAAATTTTATTTGAATGGATGTACTACATTGTACACATGAGTTGTTTTCACTGGGGATCTGAGTTCAGGTCCTCATGCTTGCAGAGTAAGTACTCTACCAACTGAACCACTTCCTCAGCCTCCCTGCTTTTGTTAAGATAGGGTCTCATGTAGCCGAGGCTGTTATTAAATTCCTAATGCTCCTGCCTATATCTCCAAATGTTGGGATTATAGGTGTATATAACAATGTCCATCTTGTTTCACATTTTGACTATTAGGAATATTGCTGTTAGGATCATTCATGTGTACTTTTTATGTGTTCTGTTGCATATTTCTGTACAGTGTATTTTCTATTAATAAACCGTCCTAAAGCCTAGTGCTTAATCATTATTTTCCATTGTGAAAGCATGCTATTGTGGACTACACCAATGTTGGCTGGGTTCAAATCATGGATCTGTCCAGTTGGTGGTTCTAGATAGTTAGCTATTCTAGAATAGCTTTTAAAGCAGCACAACATGATGCTAATAGGCTAGCCAAGGCATGTTCTTAAAGCTGAGCAGATCAGAGGCATCGGAGCAAGCAAAGTTCACTTGTGCAAGACAGCAAGACGGAGTTCATGTTTACATTTCAGACCTCTGTGGTCATGTTTACTAATCCATGCTGCAAGATGTCTCAAGAATAACCAAGCCACTTAAAGAAGCCCAGAGTCAGAGTAGAAAGAAGAGGTACAAAGTGACAGACTAACGGGTGTGCCTATTAGAAAGCCATTAATCGGGGGCATTAATGCATGCAATCAGCTGTCCCACACAAGCATGCTTTTGCACACACACGCACACGCTCTGTTTTACTGGCTGTCTCTTCCATGTGTGTGTCCTGAGAGTGCCCCTCCCCCTCAGTTCTCCAGGGTAATAGTCACCCATGTGTACCCTGGTCTGAAGCTCACCTGTTGTGTTGTTTTTGTTTGTTTGCTTTTTTAATCACAGTCTGACATATGCTGTCTGGTTAATGCTTGACTTTATGCAGCGAGAATGTATATTTCATGAGGTTAAGGACTAAGACCAAGGCACTTATTGAATTGTTGGGAGGAGTTGTTAGTAGTTGAATGAACTAATAGAGACAAGTATATAATCAGTGTCTGGTACAAGGTAAGCTCTGTATAAAGTTGATATAATATGTATGGTACAATATTCTTAGCACCTACTTGTTATTAGAGTGTACAGAGCAAGTCAAATAGATAACTGGAGAGATTTTAATATTAGAAAAGATAAAAAGCCATATATGGTAAATGAACCAGATACTGCTTTTTTAAAATTTTATTTTATGTATATGAGTAATTTGCCTGCATGTATGTACATGCATTATGTATGTGCCTGTGGGTGGTTGGTAACCACCATTGGGTGCTGGGAACTGACCCTGGGTCCTCTGTAAGAAGAGCAAGTACTCTTAACCACTGAGTCATCTTTCCAGCCCCAAGGCACTATTTTTCTGTTGAATATAATAGCATATTTATAAACTATTCACATACTATGAAGTGCTCCCTCTGAAATATTATTTCAGAATTTATCAAAAATACATAAACCCCTAAGCATTTTTACTCTACATCTCTCAAGCCTCTTTTCTCATCTCCCATTTGTTGGATTGTTGAGTCTCAAAGTTACCATTCTTTGTCCTGTTACTTTGTTCATTGTGACTTTTATGATTTATTGGGTTTTCAGTGTCTTTTGAGCATTGCTTCTAGTACTTGTGAGTAAAAGACTAAGTTGGTTATAGTAAAACTCTTCGCAGCTCTGTAAGTGTAAGCCTCTTTTCTAAATGAGAGTCTTCTTGTGGACTCTGCCAGTTGAGTGCTGTGTATTCATTGACTAACATTCTTCTAGGTTGCCAGGATTATAGCAGTCATGATTAGAGTCACCCTCCTTATAAGTGTAAGGATGTCCTTAGTATCTTTTTATTTATTTATTTTTATTTAAATTAGAAACAACCTTGCTTCACATGTCATTCCCAGCTGCCTCTCTCTCCCTCCCCCACCAGTCCCCCACCAATTCCCCCAACCCTCCACCCCATCCCCTCTCTGCTCCCCAGGGAGGGTGAGGCCCTCCATGGGGGATCTCCAAAGTCTGTCATATCATCCAGGGCAGGGCCTCGGCCCTCCCCCATGTGTCCAGGCTGAGAGAGCATCCATCCCTCCATGTGAAATGGGCTCCCAAAATCCATTTGTATGCCAGGGATAAATACTGGTCTACTACCCGAGACCCCATAGATTTCCAAGGCCTCCACACTCCTCTGGGGGGGTCTGGATCAGTCCCATGCTGGCCTCTCAGTCATCAGTCTGGGGTCCATGAGCTCCCCTTGTTCAGGTCAGCTGTTTCTGTGGGTTTCACCAGCCCAGTCTTGACCCCTTTGCTCATCACTCCTCCCTCTCTGCGACTGGTTTCCAGGAGTTCAGTTCAGTGTTTATCTGTGGGTGTCTGCCTCTGCTTCTGTCTGTCACTGGATGAAGGCTCTAGGATGGCATATAAGGTAGTCATCAATCTCATTATCAGGGCGGGACATTTAAGGTAGTCTCTCCACTATTGTTTAGATTGCCAGTTGGTGTCATCCTTGTAGATCTCTGGAAATCTCACTAGTGTCAGCTCTCTCCTCAAACCTATAATGGCTCCCTCTATTATGGTGTCTCTCATCCTGCTCTCCTCTATTCTTCCTCTGGGTATCTGTGTTTTAAACCTTACATTTATTTATTGTGTGCAGTGGCTATGGGGAGGGCACAGTCGTGCTATGATGAGTGTGGGGAGGTCAGAGGGCACAGTTGTGCTATGATGAGTGTGTGGGGAGGGCACAGTCGTGCTGTGATGAGTGTGTGAGGAGGGCACAGTCGTGCTATGGTGAGTGTGTGGAGGTCAAAGGGCGTTTGCAGGACTTGGTTTCCTCCTCCCAGCATAAGAGTGCCGGGGATTGAACTCAGGCTCCAGGCTTGGTGGAAAGTGCTCTCATCTACTGAACCATGTAAAAAAGAGTTTGTTTATTACCTGTGTGTGTAAATGACACATGTGTGTAATGCAGGTGTGCATGTGCTGTGGTGCTTCTTCATGGAGGTCAGAGGACAACTCCCAGAATTGGTTTCTCTTCTTGTGTTGTATGACCCAGAGATTAAGGGTCTGGAGGTCCCTGTGGTGTCACAGTCCAAGCGAGGCAAGAAGGAAATTAAGTTCAGCGTAACTGAGTTAGCCAGTGTTGGCTCAAACACCTATATTCTTTCATAAAAGTAATATAAAAATCCAGTCACGTTCACACTGATGATTAACCATCACACTAACAAACCCTGAAAAGCTTTTGCTTTCTGGTGGAGAGCCCCAAATTTGGGGAAAGATGAAAATAGATTTTCCTGATTTATTCTGTTTGTATATGTACATACATATGTATGGAATTTTCTGTGTAGGTTCCATAGTATAGAAAATGTGGTCTTTGTATTTCTGAGTGTGGCTTATTTCACCTAATATCGTAGTTGCTAGTTTTGATTGTTCATTCTGACTACACGGGTATTATTTGAATCTCTTATAGGTGGGGATATAGTACTAGTATAGGAAAAAGGCTAAGATAGTTATTAATAATCATAAAACTCCTAAATTCTCTAAAACCTGGACAGTTTACTAATAGTTACTACATTCTATTTCTACACTAAAATATTTCTAATTAGTGTGCTAAGCGATCTTTATTTAAAGTCCTTTATTTTATTTTCTTTAGGTGTGGAATATCAAGCAAATGATTAAATTGACACAGGAACATATAGAGGCCCTATTGGACAAATTTGGTGGGGAGCATAATCCACCATCAATATACTTGGAGGTAAGTTTTTAGTATCTCTTTATAGTAATTTTGAGGGAAAATTCATAAAAATGTTTTATAGTAGTTCTTTGATTATTTTAAAGAGTATAATTAGAAACATATTGGAATAATTAGCTTTGTCTTTTTTTGTTTGTTTCTTAGTCTTGTTTTCTTTCACTTGTTATAATCTATATTGGTTAGATCTATGTGGAAAATGTGAAAACTGAGAGGAATCCCCTATAAACTTAAATATTGCTAGAATTTAAAACAAGAAAAGAAAAAGAATCATTAAAAAGAGAAAGCACACTGTTTTGCTGGTCAGCAAAATGAGTTACCATATTGGGAAGTGGGGTGGTTTGTAAAAATATCTTTTCCAGAATAAGTCCCCCATAATTGGTTTCTTTTTTCAAGACAGGGTTTCTCTGTGGCTTCAGAGGCTGTCCTGGAACTACCTCTGTAGACCAGGCTGGTCTTGAACTCACAGAGATCCATCTGCCCCTGCCTCCCAAGCGCTGAGATTAAAGGCGTGCACCACCACAGCCCGGCTTCATAGTTGGTTTCTGCTTTCTATTAGATACAATTTATCTAATGGTCCAACATTATTCAGTCTTACTGCTTAATGATGACTTGGGACTTGTCAGCCTTCAGTAAGGCTATAAATCTGTAGTTACCATTGTTCATAGTTTGTGAGACAGTAGGTACTATACAATATCAGATAAGCCTTGTCCTTAGTTTCCTTCAATTCAGTCATTTTCCTCAGCAAGCAAGCTATTGTGGAATCTAGGCTGTCAGGTTCTACAACCAACACTGCTCACCACACTTCCACACTGTGTTTCTCCATAAGCTTGCTCAGTTATAATCACGCACAAAGGTAACCCTAAATTATAAAAGACCAGAGCCAGGCATGGTGGCACATGCCTTTTAGGCTAGCATTTAGAAGGTAGAGGCAGATGGATCACTGTGAGTTTGAGGCTAACCTAGGCTATATAGTGAGTTCCAGGATAGCAAAGGCTACACTGTGAGACTCTCCAACAACAACAACAAAATACCAAAAAGATAGGGTTAACATTTGGCTTCAAAAACTAGAGATTTTAAAGCGTGGTTTGAATAACTTCTGGCTAAGTTTCTAATTTAGCAATCTAATTACTTTTTGAAGGACAAATGAAGTCTTCATTATTTTGGGAGAAATTTGTGTTTATAAAACAAGTGTTGGAACTTTGGAAACACTGTAAACTTCTTCATTTGACTCTTTCCAGATCACACTGCTACTCATGGTTTCAATGCCAGAGCTACAATTCCTGTCTCCAGATACTTTAGTTACTTTCACTTGTATAGTATAGGGGGCCAAGCAAAGAAGTCAGAAGGAAGTATATAGCCTTCGTGAAACTCATTGTTTTTCTTTATCAAACTTAAAAGCATAAGTAGCACTATTTCTCCCTGTTTACTGGAAACTTTCCCACATTTGAGACAGTGACCATGTCTATTTACAGTCATGATGAATTGCTTTAGCCATACAATACTCAGACAGTTGAATATTTGAAAACTGATTAGTAAAAAGCAGAAGCATTTATGCTTGTTCTCATTCTGTGCCCTGTACTATGTTAAGTTATTTTATTAATACTTACAATTACTTTTAGCAAGACCCTGCATAGGTATTTTATTCCCTTTTACAGATGAAACCAAGAGATTAAGTAACTTAATCTCAGGTGATAGCTATTGATAAGGGGAAGCAGGCAGATATCTAACTTATAAATCTATGATACTGATCACGGCCTTATTCTGCTGTTTTGCTATGCTGTTGTGTCTGTCCTTACTCCATCACTAGGCAGCTTTTATTCAGGCTGAACATTACTAATTTCCTCATCCATTCTTTGTGATATAATTGTGAACCTTTTATTAGATGTATTTAATTTGATCGATTTCTTTTTAGAAACAAACTTGAATTGTGTATTCAAGATATATGTACCATCAGAATAAAATTTAATGGATTATATTATTAGTATATGACAAAGAAGTAGATTCTTGTTCTTTTTTGGTTTTTTGAGACAGAGTATTTCTGTATTGCTGTGGCACCTGTCCTGGAACTTGCTTTGTAGACCAGGCTGGCCTTGAACTCACAGAGATTCGCCTGCCTCTGCCTCCTGAGTGCTGGGATTAAAGGCGTATGCCACCAAAGCCCAGCTAGATTCTTGTTCTTGTGGACTAATACTACCAAATATAGCTACATTGAGTATTTATGAAATGTTTTAGGAAAAATAAGAATAGTATTACATGTAATAATTTAAAAATTGAGTTTATCATTACAAAACAGCATAGTTCCTGACATAAATTAAGTGTTCTACAAATAGGGATATTCAGTGAATACCTGTTAATGTTTGTACTCTTTGTACCAAAAAAAAAGTGTAAGAGCCAAAAATCTGTGTTTTCAAGTAGCTTATGCTTCGGGGGGGGGGGTGTAGACAAGGATCATAGAAAGGGTTAGGATATTGTGCTTCAGTGGGGGGGGGGTGTACACAAGGATCATAGAAAGGTGTTAGAATATTGCACTTACTCCACTCGACACACCATGGAGAAGACTGACAGGAGATGACAGAATCTTACCTGTGGAAACCTGACACCCAACCAAATACTGAGATGGGAAGGCCTTTAGTCAAAAGTCAGTTCTGCTGATAACCTACTGAGGTACAGCACTCTTCAGGGTTTCAGTTTCACTCTGTAAGAGTCCTTAGAGCTTTATGGTTGGCTGGTTGGTTGGTTTTAGAATACAACATACATTGAATTTACTACTTTAAAAATATACTTTCATGATGTTAGCAGATTCATCTTATTTTGTAACCATCACCACAGTCCATCTCCAGAAGCTTTCATCATCTAAGACTGATCTTTTTTATTTTACATATGAACTACCTAGTCTGCATTTTCTTCTCCCCATAGTCTGTAGTTAACAACTATTTTACTCCAGTGTCTGTGAATTTGATTGCTATAATGGAATCATATAGCATTTGTCTTTTTGTGACTAGCTTATCTTAGCATGTTTTCAAGGATTATACTTTATACATGTTGCAACATGGATAGTACATGTGTAAAAATTTCCTTCCTTGCCAGGGGGAATACTTGTAGCATAATGCTTGCCTGATTTGTGGATGCTTGGATTACTTTCACCTTTCCTCATGATGAAAAGTGCTGCGATGAACATGGGTGAAAGATAATTGAATTCTTGCATCAATTCTTAAAGTAAACTTTACAGGTATATTTATTTACTGAGCACACACCAGCCACAGTACGTGTCTGGAGGTCAGTAAATAACTCAGGATGTCAGGCTTGGTGACTTTAAAGTCTCTTATTTGAAGCTAATGGTGACCTGATCATTTATAATGTAGGTTTGTCTTGTGTATAACTAACCAATGATTACAGCTGAGCCAGAATTTATAGAAAAAGGCAGAGAAGACATGGTGAGCAGTATGGATTGTTGAACCTGAGCAAATCAGGGTGTTAGGCTTGGCTGGCCCTCATGTCTTTGAGTTTATACCCAGAAGTAGAATTGCAGGATTATTATTAAGTGATTCTATTTAATTATTTAAAGCAGCTCTCTTCTGTCTGTAACGTTCCTCGCTGTCCTGGAACTCGCTCTGTAGACCAGGCTGGTCTCAAACTCACAGAGATCCGCCTGCCTCTGCCTCCCATGTACTGGGATTAAAGGCGTGTATCACCACTGTCCGGTTCTCTCACAGTTTTATATTGTACCTACACCACTCACATTCTTACCATCAGTAAATGCACCAGGATTCTCCCTTCTCAACTTTCTCCCCTACACTGAATATTTTCTATTTTGGCTTTGATAATTACCATTCTAACAAATATAAAGTGGTATTCTGTTGTGGCTTTGCTTTGCATTTCCCTAATGATTATGGTGTTCAGATGAGATCTTCTTACAGCTTATTGGTTATTTGGACATCTTCTTTGGAGAAATGTCTATGTTAAACCCTTTGTCTAATTAAATTAGATTGTTTGGGTTTTAGTTACTGAGTTGCAATTCTTTTTAAAAATTAATTAATTAATCTATTCATTCATTCATTCATTCATTCATTCATTCATTCATTCATTCATGTGTGTGGACCAGAGGACAGTTTTCAAAACTTGTTCTCTCCTTCCAACTGTCCTAGGGGTCAAACTTAGATTGCCAGGCTTGCAGCAATACCATTACTCACTGAACCATCTTGCCAGTCCTTTTTTGTTGTTGTTGTTTTTTGGTTTTTACAAGACAGGGTTTCTCTGTATTGTTTTGGAGGCTGTCGGTCCAGCCTGGCCTCGAACTCACAGAGATGCGCCTGCCTCTGCCTCCCGAGTGCTGGGATTAAAGGCATGCACCAGCACCAGTCCTCTTTTTATGTTCTTTGTTATGCCTACGAGTAGGGGTGGCATTCTCATTCAAACCACGGCATTCAGTCCCTGGCCAAATGACCATATTATAATGCAACATTTACTGGATCCAACTGCAAGTCCAAAGTCTCTCCCGAAACTCTAGGTCATCTCTTAATTGTAACCCCCTGTAAAGTCAAAAGTCAAATGACATACTTGCAATGTATAATGGCACAGGATTTATATTACCACTCCACAAGGTAGAATGGAAGGCTGGTGAGAAAAACAGGACCAAAGCAAAACCAGCTCCAGCTATATAAAATTCTGATATCTGGGACTTGAGTTTCAAAGGACTTACATGACTCAGCCCCACCAGATTTGGTGGGTCAACTCAAAACCCTGGATGTGGGTCTGGATGGTAACTGATTTGGTCAGACTGGGGTGCTGGGACTGCTCCCGTCATGTGAAGGGTGGAGCCAACTCTTCTACACCAGTGTCAGCAAGGCCAGCTCTCCTGCGCTGATGGAACCATCTCTTCTGAGTATCGGGCGGCTCTTCTCCTACAGTGGCCAGTGAGGGGCAGGCAGGGCCAACTTTCCCAAGGCCAGCGAAGGGCAGTACCCAGTCAGCATGGCCCTCAGATTTCAACACACAGGTTCATATGGCCCTCTGTGGTAACAGAGATCAACACAGACCCCAGCTGCAACAGGGCCACAGACCTAGACATAGGCTTTGGTAGCAGCTCAGGCCCAAGTGACAGAACAGGCCACCCAGATCAGTATGGCCCTGACAGCAGCATGTACCTCAGACACTAACATGGTCTCAGGTGGCTGACCAGACCCTGGGTATTCACACAGCCCTCACTGGTAACATGGATATCAACTCAGACCCTGGCTGGTATAGGGCCACAGACCCAGACATGGCCCTTGGCAGCAGCTTGGGCCACTCAGATTGGTATGACCACGGGTGGCGGCCCAGACCTTGGGCATTTATGTAACCTTTGGTGACAGCGCAGGCCACATACACCAACCTAGAGCACAGCTGAAGTAGGACCCAGATGTCACCATGACTTTAGGTGGTAGCCCAGACCCCAGCATGTGCATGGTCTTCAATAGTATCAGAAGCTATGGGTGTCAACACAGACCCTAGCTTCAGTAGAGCCATGGACCAGACATGGCCCATGGCTGCAACTCAGGCCCAGATGTCACCATGACCCCAGGTGCTGCACAAGTCACTCAGATCAGCCTGGCCCTGGTGGCAGCATGGGCTCTCGGGCATCAGCATGGACTCAAGTGGCTGTCCAGATCCTGGTCATATGCTCGGTCTTTAGTGGTAACTGAAGTCATGGGCATCAACACAGACGCTGGCTGCAGGGTCACAAACCTAGAACATGGCCTTTGGCATCAGTTCAGACCCAGGTGTCATCATTGCTCTAAGTGATAGCACACGCTACTCAGCTTGGTGTGGTCCTAGCAGTGGCAAAGCCCTTGAACACCAACATTGCCATAGGTGGTGACCCAGACCCCAAGCATTCATGTGACTTTTGGTGGCAATATGGGCCATACTCATCAACACAGAGCCCACCTGCAATATGACCATGGACCCAGACATGGCCCTTAGCAGCAGCCTGACCCTGGATGTCACCATGGCCCTGGGTAGCAGAGCCGGCCACCCAGATCAATATGACATAGCTTCAGCATTGTTCTCAGGCACCAACATGGTCTCAAGTGGCAGGCCAGACCCCAGGCATTCGCCAGCCCTTGGTGGTAACAAGAGTAACAGACATCAACTCAGAACCTGGCTACAGTAGGGCCACGGACCCAGACATGACTCTTAGTGGCAGCTCAGGCCAAGATGGCACCAGGTGGCAGAGCAGGCCACTCAGATCAGAATGGCCCCTTTGTTGCTGGTTTTTCTTTCCTGCCAGATTGGTCCCACAGCCACATCAGCCCCAAATAAGCACATGGGCTCTATATTAGTTATAAAACTGTTGGTTGGTGACTAGGGCTTCTTATTAGTTAGCTCTGTATTAATTATTAACCCATTTCTATGGATCCATATATTTCCACATGGTCTTATCTTATCAGAGAACACTTAGTGCATCCTTTCTTCCCAGTCCTTACATGGCAACTGTTCTGGTGGGCTCCCTCTGCCCACCTTTCCCAGAATTCTCTTTGTCTCCTCACTCCGCCTATCTTCCTGCCTTACTGTGTGTCATTTGGGGTTGATGTGGCTCTGGGACCAGGCTGGTGAAGAATGCTCGTACACTTCTGTACACTGGTCTCTCTTCCTATTTCTTCCATCCTTGTAAGCGACTTTCTAAGCCCTGCCTCCTTCCACATTGACATCTCGTAGCAGGAATATGCAAATAAAAATACTTCCATCTCTTCCTTTACAGCCCAGTAATCTTTTTAAAGTTTTTAGTTAGTGTGTTGTGTTATGATGTGCTCATGTGTGTGGAGATTAGAAGACAACTTTCAGGAGTTGGTTCTCTCCTTCCATTGTGGGATCTAGGGGTCAAATTCTAGTCTTGAGGCTCAGATAGTGCTTTTGTCTGCTGAGCCATCTGCTAGTCTGGTGGACTCCTTGAGAAATGGAAAGTGCCACATTAAAATCTTTGATTCTCCCTGGTTTCTTAAACGTTTGTTGAACTACATCTACTTTGGATGGTAGAGAACAATAGTAGACTATGGGCTAAGGGAATTCCACTGTCTGAAAGAACTGTGAGCATTTCTATTCCAATTAGTCATGTCTTTACTTTCAGTATCATTCTATTCTTAGAATTTGGTATTTTATATGTAAGATCGTTTGACTTTATAGCCTTTGTCAAATGGAATATTTATTAGACCATACTGTTAGTGGCCCAGAGTTTCCTGTGCAGAGTATCAAATCAGTTCTTATTTGTTAAACAGCATTTGATGGGAAAGGAGATAATTAGGAATCTATAATGAGAAAGGGTTCTTTAAAAAGTAAACTATTTTAGCTGATAACTATAGCTATTTCAGAAAGAAGATAGTAGCTACGAGTCATCTAAGTCCCAGCAAGGTTTGATGACACTGAGATCAGTGTGATCTGACACTCTGGTACTTTGTAACTCATATTGGAATTTTAACATAACTCTAATAACCGTTTCCTTTGCATTCTGTGTCTGTGCATATGTGTGCACTCATGCATGCATGCTCACATACATGCACATATATTGTCACTTCATATTCAGAGTCATACAAATGGAATCATCCATTTTAAAAAAGTATAGCAATTGTTTGTTGCCAAAGTCTATGAAACTTGATATGCCTACAACTTTTCTGGAAAATAGAATTTTATAGAAGAAGAGACACCTATCCTTGATGCAATGTAATACTTTATACTATATTGTCTTGTACTAAACTTGTGATTTGGATAATAAATTACTCTTTGACCAGAAAATTGGGAAATACTGTTTTTTAAATTAATGTTTAAGGAGCATGTAGATACAACATCTGTAGGCCAAGTTTACCAATATAGTAAACTAGTGTCCTATAATGTTTTTTCCATTGAAAAGGGAGAGTGTTTGTAGTACTTGCAGTATTTACTTTGTAATTTGTAACTTAAAGCCCTGTTTTAGATTATAAAGAAGTTATAATCAAAGACTGAAGTCATATATCCTTTGTATGTCAGAGCAAACTCTATGTCCTATGTGAGTCTCCTTTATTTTATAGGCCTATGAAGAGTACACCAGCAAGCTAGATGCCCTCCAGCAAAGAGAGCAACAGCTACTGGAGTCCCTGGGGAATGGAACTGATCTTTCTGTTTCTAGCTCAGCGTCAATGGACACCGTTACGTCCTCCTCCTCCTCTAGCCTTTCAGTGCTGCCTTCATCTCTTTCAGTTTTTCAGACTCCCACAGACGCTTCCCGAAACAACCCCAAGTCACCACAAAGACCCATCGTTAGAGTCTTCCTGCCCAACAAGCAGAGGACAGTGGTGAGTCGGTGTCTACTGTAACCTCTTTGCTGTTTCTTTGTGTTGAACATTAGCTCTGCGTGTTCAGACCCCCGCAAATGGAACCACCCATTTCCAACAAGGATAGAAAAGGCATGAGGGTTTTGTGTCAACGTCTATAGAGTTTCCCTTTTTTGCTTTTTGTTTATTCGTTTGTTCTGAGAAAGGTTTTCTCTGAGTATCAGCCTTGGCTGTCCTAGAACTTACTTTGTAGACCACGCTGGCCTCAAACTCACAGAGATCCATCTGCCTCTGCCACCCGAGTGCTGGGATTGAAGGCGTGCGCTACTACCCCCAGCCAGAGTTCTCTTTAAATTTTATTTAACTATTTGTTATTTTTTTAGACATGGTTTCACTATGTAGCTTTGGCTGGTCCAAAACACACTATTCTGCATAGCTGGCCTCCACTTAACAGAGATCTGCCTGCCCTTGCCTCTCAGGTGCAGGAAACAAATTGTGTTCTCTTACCCTTTTTCCTTTTTTGTCATATATAGATTAATTAAAATTGCTGTTCCCATACTTCCTGAGTAATAATACCTTTGTGTTGATGCATTCTTAAAGGGGGAGCATGATGTAAAATTATTTGTAAATGGAAATTCTATCTCTGAAGCATCCTGTTATAAAAACTTTATGGACACCCATCCCATCTTCAGTTTTAGTTGCCTGTACTTCTGAGGAGAAAGTGGAAAACACTGAGGCTGGAGATGGCTCCCTAGTTACGAACACTGGGTGCTCTTGCGTAGAACCCTGCTTCTATTCCAATGCCCATGTGGCAGCTCACAGCCATTGCAACTAGTTCCTGGGTACCCCGTGCTCTCTGCTGGCCTTTGTAGGCACTGTGTGCATGTGACACACAGACACACAAATGTCTCTTAAAAACAAGATGAAAAGAGTTTAGGGTATTGGTTGCACAATGGCAAGAATATTAACCTCACTGAGCAGTTAACATTTAAAAATAATTAAGATAGATTTTGTTGTGTGTATACTTTAATGCATTTTAAAAGGAACATTATGGTAATTATATGCAAAGTTTAAGTACCCATCCCTAGAATGTAACCTAGCCAATTTACTCTGTTGTGTTTATCCAAGCATGAAAAATAAGGATTTGTAAGTAAGTGTTGCTTTGATGTTCTGTTTTTTGTAACTCCAAATTCCAACTGTCCATCAATAGATAAACTGTTAAACTGGTCCTTGGTGAATATACCTGTAATCCCACCTCTTGGGATGAAGAACCAGGTAGATCAGTATAACTTCAAGGGTGGCTATACCCTTGTCTCAAAAGTAAATTTAAGAAGCTAAAAACCAAACAAATAGGGGAATTTTAAAAGAAATTGTGATATTGTACAAACAACATCATTTTAATAGGAAGAAAAGTTACTTTTACTGATATTCCCGGCATTCACCATAGATGAATCTCAAGAAAAGTGTGCTGTAGAAAAGAAGGCAGACAAAAATGGACATATACTTTGTAATTCCATTTATAAGAACTTCTGAAACATACCCTTGACCATATAATCCCAGCACAAAATAATTAGAATATTAAGTACTGTATTTAAACATACTTGTAAGTTCTTTTTTTATTATTTTTTTAATTTAAATTAGAAACAACCTTGCTTCACATGTCAATCCCAGCTCCCTCTCTCTCCCCTCCTCCCCATCCCCCATCAACTTCCCCCAACCCCCCACCCAATCCCCACTCCACTCTCCAGGGAGGGTGAGGCCCTTCATAGGGGATCTCCAAAGTCTGTAATATCATCCCAGGCAGAGCCTAGGCAGAGCATCCCTCCATGTGGAATGGGCTCCCAAAGTCGATTTGTATGCCAGGGATAAATACTGACCTAGTACCTGAGGCCCCAAGGATTGCCGAGGCCTCCTCAGTGACACCCACATTTAAGGGGTCTGGATCAGTCCTATACTGGCCTCTCAGCCATCAGTCTGAGGTCCATGAGACAACTGTTTCTGTGGGTTTAACCTGTCGGTCTTGACCCCTTAGCTCATCACTCCTCCCTCTCTGCAACTGGTTTCCAGGAATTCAGTTCATTGTTTAGCTGTGGGTGTCTGCCTCTGCTTCCATCAACAACTGGATGAAGGCTCTAAGATGACATACAAGGTAGTCATCAGTCACATTATCGAGGAAGGGCATTTAAGGTAGCCTCTCCTCTATTACTTAGATTCTTAGTTGGGGTCATCTCTCCCGATGCTCCCAGTTCACTCAGGAGATCCTGTCCCATTCCCCTTCTCTGGGGTACCATGCATATCTCTCCTAGGGTCCTCACTGTTTCCCAGACTCTCTGGCAGGGGGATTGTAGGCTGGCACTCCCCTGCTTCATGCCTAAAGTCCATATATGAGTGAGTGCATACCATGTTTGTCTTTTGGTGACTGGTTTACCTCATTCAAGATGGTTTCTTCTAGTGCCATCCATTTGCCTGCAAATTTCAAGATTCCATTGTTTTTTTCCCCCTGCTGAGTAGTACTCCATTGTGTAGCTATACCACATTTTCTCTATCCACCCTTCAGTTGAGGGGCATGTAGGTTGCCTTCAGGTTCTTGCTATTGCAAATAATGCTGCTATGAACATAGTGCAGCAGATGTCCTTGTTGTATGAATGTGCATCTTTTGGGTATATGTCTAAGAGTGGAATTGCTGGATCTTGTGGTAGACTGATTTCCATTTTCCTGAGGAATCTCCATAATGATTTCTAAAGTGACTGTTCAAGCTGGTACCCCCACCAGCAGTGAAGGAGTGTTCCCCTTCCTCCACATCCTCTCCAGCATAAATTGTCATTGGTGTTTTTGGTTTTAGCCATTCTGATAGGATTAAGCTTGTATCTCAGAGTTGTTTTGATTTGCATTTACCTAATGGCTAAGGATGTTGAGCACTTTCTTTAGTGTCTCTCAGCCATTTTAGACTCCTCTATTGAGAATTCTCTATTTAGTTCTGTAGCCCACTTTTTAATTGTATCCTTTGGTGTTTTGGAGACTTACTTCTTGAGAACTTTGTAAATGTTGGAAATCAGCCCTCTGTCAGATATGGGGTTTGTGAATATCTTTTCCCAATCTGTGGGATGTCTTTTTGTCTTGCTTACTGTGCCTTTTGCCTTACAGAAGCTTCTCCATTTCAGGAGGTCCCACTTATTAATTGTTGATCTCGCTGTCTGTGCTACTGGTGTTATGTTCAGGAAGCTGTCTCCTGTACCAATTTGTTCAAGGGTACCACCCTCTGTCTCTTCTAAGAGGTTCAGTGTGGCTGGGTTTATGTTGAGATCTTTGATCCATTTGGACTTAGGTTTAGTGCATGGAGATAGACATGGATCTATCCGCATTCTTCTACATGCCAGCATCCAGGTATGCCAGCACCATTTGTTGAAGATACTTTATTTTTTCCATTGAATCTTTTTAGCTTCTATGTTAAAAGTCAAGTGTTCATAGGTGTGTGGGTTAATATCAGGGTGTTCAATTTGACTCCGGTGGTCTACCTGTCTTTTTGTGCCAATACCAAGCTGTTTTCAGGACTATAGCTCTATAATAGAGCTTGAAGTCAGGGATGGTGATGCCTCCAGATGTTGATTTAGTGTACAGGGTTGTTTTGGCTGTCCTGGGTCTTTTGTTCCTTCAAGGTCTGTGAAGAACTGTACCGCTGTTTTGATGGTGAATGCATTGAATCTGTAGATTGCTTTTAGCAAGATCACCATTTTTGCTATGGTGATCCTACCTATCCAAGAGCATGGGAGATCTTTCCATTTTCTGGTGTCTTCTTTAATTTCTTTCTTTAAAGACTCAAAGTTCTTGCTATACAGGTCTTTCACTTGTTTGGTTAGTGTTATCCCAAGACATTTTATGTTGTTTGTGGTTACTGTAAAAGGTGATGTTTCTCTGATTTCTTTCTCAGCCCATTTACCATCTGCATATAATAGGGCTACTGATTTTTTTTGAGTTTACCTTGTATCCTGCCAAGTTGCTGAAGGTGTTTATCAGCTCTAGGAGTTCCCTGGTAGAGTTTTTGGGGTCACTTATGTAAACTATCATATCATCTGTAAATAGTGAAAATTTGACTTCTTCCTTTCCAGTTTGTGTCCCCTTGATCTCCTTTTGTTATCTTATTGCTCTAGCTAGAACTTCAAGTACAATATTAAAGAGATATGGAAAGAGTGGACAGCCTTGTCTTGTTCCTGATTTTAGAGGAATTGCGTTGAGTTTCTCTCCATTTAGTTTGATGTTGACTGTTGGTTTACTGTATATTGCTTTTATTATCTTCAGGTATGATCCTGTTATCCCAGATCTCTCCAGGGCTTTTATTATGAAGGGGGTTGGATTATGTCAAAAGCTTTTTCAGCATCAAGTGAGATGATCATGTGTTTTTTCTTTTGCAGTTTGTTTATATGGTGGATTATGTTGATATGTTGAACCATCCCTGCATCCCTGGGATGAAGCCTACTTTCTATTCTTTCTTTCTTTAATGTGGGGGTCTCAGAATGATTTTCCTTTATATCCTATGCTGATCTTGAACTTGAAGTCTTTCTACCTCTGCTCCCCTCAAGTGCTATGATTACAGGGATATCCCAACATGCCCAGCCTAGTGTCATTCTTTTTTGCTTGCTTGTTTGTTTGCTTAAGACAGGGTTTCCCTGTAACCACCCTGGATGCTCTGGAACTCATTTTGTAGACCGGGCTGACTGTGAACTCAGAGAGATCTGCCTTACTGCCTCCTGAGTGTTAATTAGAATTATAGGCATGTGCCAGGCAGTGGTAGTGGTGGAGCACACCTTTAATCCCAGCACACTTGGGAAGCAGAGACAGGCAGATGATATGATCTCTGTAAGTTTGAGGTTAGCCTGTTCTACAGAGTTAGTTCTAAGACAGGCTCCAAAACTACGACAAACAAAAACAAGCAAACAAACAAAACAAAAGAATAGTTGTAAACCACCATACCTAGCAGAAAAATTTGTTACCTCTTTATTGCTATGATAAAGACCATGACCAACTTCAGAAGGAAAGAGTTTATGTGGTTTACATTTCCATGTGACAGTTGAAAGAGTTCAGGGCAGGAACTGGAGGCAGGAATCTGAGTAGCAACTGAAGCAGAGGCCATGGAGAAACACTGTTTACTTGCTTGCTCCCCATGGCTTCTCAGCCTGCTTTCTTACCCCATCCAGGACCACAGCCCAATGTACCACCAGCCCCGTACGCTAGGCCCTCCCACAGCAAGCATTAATCAAGAAAATGCTGTCGTGTCGAGGCATTGTCTCAGTTAAGATTTTCTCTCCCAGCATGTCCATTTCAAATTGTCAAGAAACCAACCAGCACACTGGATCTCAGTTTTTTTAACTCAAAAACAATCCTCTTGCCAGATGACATACTTTAAAGTAGCTTATTCTGATCTTTGTAACCACTTTTTAAAAAATCTATAAATATCTGTTTTACAGGCAAATCCTACAAAACATTTAAACAATTGTAGAATACCAGTCACAAACTTTATATCCTCAATCACATGAGAGTCTATCTCAAGAAGAGAAAACAATAGGTTGTTTGTAGGTTTTCTATTTTTAGATATTTGGAAAATTCTAAATACTTAGGAAAATATTAAGAACCATATATTAAATAGCTCCTAGTCAGATACAATGAATAAATTGTTAATATTTGCTCCATATACTTTTCTTATCAATCACATTCTCCTGTTGAACATCCTAAAAATAGCCGGTATGATAAATGTGGCACACCTTCAGTCACATTTTATTACATATGTATCCATGTTAGTATTTTGTTTTTTAATTGATAAAGTAGGATAGTGCCATATGTATGAAATGTCCAGGATTTTATTCAAAATTTGGATTTCAAGGTTGCGTTTATATCTGTTAACTAAACACAAATTTTATTCATTCCATTGAATTGTTATCAGCCATTGCATTGTTGCTTATCCTTCCTCTGGTAAATATATGGTGGTGGTATTATTACTACTATTATTATTGCAAACAGTGTTAATATGTAAGTACCTTTATGTAGAACTAAGAACAATACCAGGGGACAGAGAATGCACATGTAGTTTAAAGGTTCTTTTTTATTAATTTGTATATGTGAGTCTGCAAGAGTTCATTGCACCATGTGTATTCAAGAGGCCAAGGAGGAGAAAAGGCGTTTGATCTCCTGAAACTGGAGTTACAGGTTGTAGTGGGCCACCACAAAAATTCTGGGAACAGAAACCAGGTCCCATGGAAGAGCAACAAGTCCTCTTAACTGCTGAACTATTTCTCCAGCTCCTAAAATTACTAACTTAATTTTAGCACATTTTTAGCTATGCAAACACAACTTACCTTTTTTTTTTATTTACTTAATGACTAGAATACTGCCTAATATTTAGTATATGTTCTGTACTTGCTTACTAAAAAGCATATCTTTGGATTTATCACACCTTGAGATTAGGGACCACAAATGCCTATGTAGTTGGTATGAATCCCAGTTGTATTGTAAGAACTGTTTGTGAAACAGAGAAAGATAAGGCAAAATTGTTCTGAGTTTAGCCATTTGCATGGTGGGATAACAATAATAAAAACTTACATTGATAGCAGTAGAAATAAGGAGACTAAGAAGCAGGTTAATAACAAAAGGATTTATTATTCAGTAGAATAAATGGTACAGCCCCAGGAAATATCCTCCCTCTAAATTTTTGGCCACAGTGAAACAAAAACCTGAGTGTACTTTTTTTGTAGGCAGAAAGAATAATAATTGGTTTCTCAAAAGTTCTAAGCTTTCCTAACAATGAAAAGGCTTCTTTTGTCCTTGGGTAAGTTTTTTAACTGATTGACCTGTTTTGATTTGATTAAGACCAAAGTTTAGTAGTAAAAGATCCCACCTTTATGAATCCATCCTGTTGGTGCTGGGTCTTTACAAGTTAAATTCAATTTGCCCAGGAAGCACTTTAATTCTAACATTGTCTTTACTCTATGAAGTGTTTTGGGGTATAGAGAGAGGTTGTCTTCTTACTTTAATATGTTGTAAGTATAGCATATCACAGTTTCCTTAAAAAACAATATGATTGGTCTAACAGAACCGAAAAAGATTCAACATCAAGATAATTATCATACAATCAGTAAGCTTTGTCTTTTTTGTTTTGTTTTGTTTTTTGTTTTTCAAGGCAGAGTTTCTCTGTGACTTTGGAGACTGTTTTGGTACTAGATCTTGGAGACCAGGCTGGTCTCGAACTCACAGAGATCCACCTGCCTCTGCCTCCCAAGCACTGGGATTAAAGGTGTGCCCCACCCATGCCTGGCAGTGCAAAACATTTTTGATGTCCAACCAAATTTTAAGGTGACTCCTTGAAGTTTTGAAAATAACTTTGTACTGTGGAAGAGTTTAAACATGTGTGAAAGTAATGAATCCTTACTCAATGATTATTTCCATTTTTTATGATAAAGTTTGAATCTAACTTTTTGTTTAGGTGTGAATTTTCCTATGGCAAGCAGATATTCAGATGCGTGTGTACATTGTTATTAACTCACTAACGCAAACTCCAGGCTGACATCCCTATGGCTGAGGCCTGAAGTAAGTTTCCCCAACACACACATATAAGAGGTTTTATGTCCCACCAGCCTGCTCCCAAAAAATGACATGGAGACTTCCTATTATGAAAGTTTGGCCTATAGCTTAAGCTTGCCCCCAAATAGCTTTTATAACTTAAACTAACCCATTTATAGTAATCTACATTCTGTCACGTGGCATTTCCTCTTTCCCATATCGCACCTCCTGTTTCCTCTCGTCTCCTGTGCACCTAGATTTGCCTCCTCTTCCTTTTTCCTCCCTGGAAATCCTGCCTATACCTCCTGCTAGCTATATTGCCTGGTCAGCTTCTTATTACACCAATCACAGCAAATACATCTTCACACAGTGTACAAATATCCCACCACACACACACACAAACACACACGGCCAGACACTTTACAGCCTTCACTGGGCTTAGGCTCTAAACAGCACTTTAGTATTTTGCTGGGAAACCATCTAAAATGAAAAACACAAAAGTTTAGAAAATGTAGCAGTAAATAGACTGAATAGCACACAGATTTATGTTATGAAAATAGAAAGGTGAAGGAAAACTGCCACTTCCTTTAGCTTTAACTAGAAGAGTACATAAGCTGGGGGACAGGTTTTTTAGTGATCTTCATGTATCCATAAAAGCAATAAAGGTTTTTACAGTTTCTAGTGGGTAGACAAATGCACACTTACATCCTCCACAAATGAGGATTGCTTCTGTAAGTCTAGCTACTTCCTGAATACTTAAACTGATGAGGGCCCATGCCCTCATGACAAACTTAAAATAGGGCCTTACTCTGTTAGCCTAGCTGGCTTGGAACGTGCAGACATAGACCCTCCTGCTTTGCCTCCCAAGCGCTTGTGTTAAAAGTGTTAATTTCATAAGAGATTAGTAGCTGACTAACACATGTACATCATCTCTTGCCAGAAAAGATTTATTGATAGCTTCAACAGTAATATAGATTCTAGAGAAGGGCAAGTGCCCAGATAGAGACACTAGAGAACTAAACATCAAATGTCAGATCGAGGTCTGCCGGTCTCTGTGTGTGCCTGCCTGCCTCCCTCACACCCCTTGTCTGTCTCTGGGTGGGTGGGTAGGTGATGGAGGTGTGTATGTGTGTGCCTGTAGTGCATGAGCCTGTAGAGGCCACAGATCAATGGGAGGTATCTTTATCACTGTTCATCTTGTTTTCTGAGACTGGGTCTCTCTGTGAACCTAGAACTTACTCTTTCTGCTAGATGGGCTGGCCAGTGACACCCCTTCCCCCAGGGTCTACACTGGCGTTACTGGCGTTAAAGATGTACACTGCCATACTCAGCTTTTTAGTGGGTGCTGAGGACCCAGACTCAGGTCATCATGCTTGAGCAGCAAAAACACTACCCACTGAGGGACCTCTCCAGCCTCCCCATGTATCCTAAGACATATTTTATTCTGCTTTATTTAGAGTGGTGAGGTAGCTCTTAATGATCATTAATGTAACTGAAGACGTACACAGTTTTCACATTTGGTGTAAGCTGATTTTACAGCTATATATGGTAGCATACACCTGTGCTTACAACAGTTGGAGGCTGACATAGGAAGATCTAGAGCTACAGACTAGCCTTATCTATCTCAAAAAAACAACAAAAATTTTTATTTTACTTTGAGTGTTGACCTCTAAGTGTTGTATATACTATAGAAAATACTATTGCATTATCTTTGTGTGTGTGTGTGTGTGTACAATTTTAATAAAATACTTACTAGCCTTGCCCCGCTTTGTTTTTGAGACAAGCTCTGTTTTGTCCTGACTGCCCTGGAGCTCACTATGTAGACCAGGCTGTTCTTGAGCTCACAGAAATTCTGTTGCCTCTGCCTCCCAAGTGCTGGGATTAAAGTCATAAACTACCATGCCCAGCCTTAATTTTTCTGTAAGTCGGTAAAATAATAGTTACTTGATATCCTTTGACTAATAAGTAAATTATAGGCAATACCGTATCTGACTCAAGGAATCCATAGGATATTTTAAAGGTGTTATATAGATGAATGACCGAGTTTTAAGAAAATTATTTGAAAGAAATCCTCCTTCCCTTTTACCTCTCATGCACATTTATGTCACAGGTACCCGCAAGATGTGGTGTTACAGTCCGAGACAGTCTAAAGAAAGCGCTGATGATGAGAGGTCTTATCCCAGAATGCTGTGCTGTTTACAGAATTCAAGATGGGTATGGTTTGCATGTGTTGTGTGGTTTTCTTTGAGAAGAAATGAGACATAAAGCTTCGAGTTTCTTTTACAGTCTTTATCCAAATTTAGGGAATTGAAAATGAACCTCAGGGACTGGAGAGGTGGCTCAGTGAGAGCACTGGCCATTCTTCCAGAGGACCTGGGTTCAAATTCCAGCACCCACACGGCAGCTCACAGCCATCTGTAACTGGTTCCAAGTGATCTAAACCCTCTCTATGGTCTCCTCAGACATGCATGAGGTGCACAGACTTATATGCAGACAAAACACCCGTACACAGTAGGAAACAAGGAAGGGAGGGAATATTTTTTTACTAAAAGATTTAGAACATCAACTTAAAAAAATTGTGTTAATAATACTCAAAGAAATCTTGACTTGGTAATGTATGTGGTTATACTATGTATTCCTGTGACAAATCCCTTTATTAGAGCTTATAATTTGTGAGCCATTAGATAGAACAGTGGTTCTCCACCTGTGGTGGGTCACAACTCCTCTGGAGGATTGAATGACCCTTTCACAGGGCTTGCCTAAGACCATCTGAAAACACAGATGTTTACATTGTGATCCAGAACAGTAACAAAATGACAGTTGTGAAGCAGCAGCAACAATAGTTTTATGGTTGGGGGTCACCACAACATGAGGAAGTGTCACCTCATTAGGAAGGTTGAGAACCACTACTTTACAATGTGATTAGATAGTGTGGTTTTGCACAGTCTTCCTTTTTAAATACAAGTTCCACAAAAAATCTACCAAAATTAACATTTTGTATTGAAGCGGTTTTCATAAAGTAATACTGTTCCAAGATGTTTATGTTTTGAATCTACATTTTGAGGCATGTTGTTCCTTGAATGCTCTCTTTCTCTGAATTAGTAGATAAGACAACACCTTTGTCTTTTGGGGGGGCTTGTTTGGTTTGTTGTTTTGGTTTTTGTTTTCAGAAACAGACTTTCTCTGTGTAACCTTAGCTGTTCTTGGCTGCCTTAGAACTCGCTCTGTAGCAGGCTGGCTACAAACTCACAGAGATCCACCTGTCTCTGCCTCCTTATCACTGGGATTGAAGGTGTGTGCCACCACTGCCTGGCTTTGTTCTTGTTTTGTTTTGTTGTTCTTGTTTTTTGTTTGTTTGTTGCACCGCGCATTGGTGGCGCACGCCTTTAATCCCAGCGCTGGGGAGGCAGAGGCAGGCAAATCTCTGAGTTCGAGGTCAGCCTGGTCTACAGAGTAAGTTCCAGAACAGCCTCCAAAACAAAGAAACTGTGTCTCGAGGGAAAAAAACAAAACAAAAAAACAGGAACAATCTGGTTTTGGCAATTGTAGGCTTTTCTAGAACTTAAGAAAAGAGTGAGTATATTTACCCTTCTCTTTGTCTAAGAGTAATACACTTATTAGTACTAAACTTAAAAATTAATACCTGAATTTTTAATGATGGGAAACCAAAGAGACAAACCTCCTTAATATTACCTCCGTAACCATGCTCATATCTTCAGCATGATGCTTATAAATATTTTGGGGGTATAATAATCAAGAAAGGGCTGGAGAGATTGCTCAGAGGTTAAGAGCACTGTGCTCTTCCAAAGATCCTAAGTTCTGTTCCTACCAACCACACGGTGGCTCACAACCATCTGTAGTGGGATCTGATGCCCTCTTCTGACATAAAGTCGTACATGCAGATAAGAGCATTCACATCCATTGGATGGATGGGTGGATGGATAGATCTTTTTTCTTTTTAAGTCAAGAACGGTTTTGCCTGTGTTTTCAGAGAGAAGAAGCCCATTGGCTGGGACACGGACATCTCCTGGCTCACTGGGGAGGAGCTGCACGTGGAAGTGCTGGAGAACGTCCCGCTCACGACTCACAACTTTGTATGTGCCTTTAGTTCTCATGTCGGGGCCACTGAATTCTGACGCTTTTAATTGGGGGTGTGGAAAAGAGACTGATAATTTACCTAATTCTGTTCTTTAAACTCTTGTGTTTAAAGAGTTCTATTTTAGTGTTTTTTCTTTGTAACTTAATAAACCTGTAACATGTCACTTAAAAGAACAAAAATTAGAGGCTGGAGAGATGGATCAGTGGCTAAGAGCCCTGGCTTCTTTCAGAGGACACGGGTTCAACTGTCTGAACCACGTGCATCTCACAACTGCCTATAATTCCAGTTCTAGGGGATCTGAAACACGCAAAACACCAATATACATAAAATAAAAAAGAAGTGATTAAAAAAGAAGAAAAATTGGTACATTGTAAAAATCTATCTAGTAAAGGGAAATTTTCCTAGAAGTCAGCATTTGTATAGATGAGTAGGTAATTGTATATTGTATGGTTTTTTGTTTTGTTTTGTTTTGTTTTTGTATACACAAATGCATGGTGGTCAGCCCAAAGTTTATGTCTTTTTCTCTTATTACTGCCCATTCTTCTCTCTCTCTCAAGGGAAAACTGGGGTCATGCTATGTGATAGTCCTCGTTTTTAATTTTCTCATCAGTAGGACTGTGAGTGTTAATCTATTTTAGTACTAGCATTAGTCTTGTAATGATTGTCTAGTAGCCTATAAAAATAGAAATCTGGTGCTTTCCCTCGATTAATGCAAATATAGATTTTTTTATATTTATAAAATACTATGTGCCAAGTTAGACTGCCAAATCTCAGCACACATATGTTTGAAGAATAAGGTAATGGATGGTAAAGTATTATAGTTGGGTACTGAACTCTCCTTGAAATTTTTCCATGTGTTGTTTGCATTTGGAAAAATCCTAGCTTAATCTTATCAGCATGCAACAGTCTCCTAATCACCACCACCATTACCATACATCTTTAGATATGCTTAGATTCTAGAAAGAGCCTAAGCAATAGCCTAGAAGACATAGTAGGTCTTTTTAGTAGTGCCTTTATTCACAAACGTATCTTTATAGACATGATTTGCTTAAAATTCACACTCAAATGCATACCCATTATTTTTTTACCCCTTCAGATGTTCTGTTCCTATTCTCTATTTCCCTCCCCCCCCAATGTGTATATTTGTATGTATGTATGCATGTATGTGTATATAAAACCAACCAGATATACATAGTTTGGATATGTATAAACAGCAGGAAGAAAACACGAGGTAGGCAAATGAAGGATATTCAGGAATTCATGACCAACAAACTGCTAACAAGTAAGGATTTGAATGGCTGACTACAAGGTCAGGTGTTTTTTGTTTTTTGTTTTGTTTTTTTTTTGCATATTTCTATGTGTGCTTTATTTTCTGAAATAACGATAGCAGTACTAAAGATTCTTAGTTTGGCAGTTATTTGATATATGAATAAATATCAAAGGAGGAGTTTGACTTGTGCATAGTTACAGCAAGTAGAAAAGGAGGAAAGCTGGAGACAAACATGGTTTTCCACGTGCTTTCTCAGGTGTGGGAAACTACAGGAAGCAGCCCTTGCTGTGTAAAGGCTCTTGAAAGGCCAGAGTGGATTGTGTGCCAGTGCACAGTTATGACTAACTGCTCATTCAATAAGTATTTTTGAAAATCGAGCCTTGAGCTGAGCATGGTGGCACACAGTTTTAATCCTAGCACTGGGAGGCAGAGACGGCAGATCACTGGGAACTCAGGGACAGCCTGGTCTGCATAGTAAGGCCCTGTCTCAAAAATGTTTCAGAGCAGGTGTGGTTTTTTTCCATACCTGGAATCCTGGTACTTGGCAGGCAGAAGCAAGAGGCTGGTTGAAAGTTCAACACCAACTTCTGTCACAAAAACCATTTAAACAGAAGGAGAGAAGTAATTTGGTGTTAAAATCAAATGTATCATGAAATTTATCATTTATATGTGATAAAGTATGTAAGATTCTAAGTTATGTTTGAAGAAAGTACTATTATAGATTCACGTATATACTGGATCATGATACAAAATATATTTATTACTTATTGATTATGGTTTTAAAAAGAAAACTGAGATGATTGAAAATACATAGCAAAGAATGATGTCATCCTTGCTATCAACATTCTGAAATAGCCAATGTTAAGAGATTTTCTGTTACATATTTTTCTTTTACTTACTGCACCACATACACATTTCATATAATTTCTCCCTTTGCCAAGAAAGAATCACTTTAGTATAGTGCAGTTTCTTTGAACCCTGTTGTGCGTTAAAAGCCACTGATAATTTTTTCAGGAGTTTTAACATTTATTCTGAAAGCATAAACTAAAAATAAGTTCATATGAGACATTCTTCCAGAGGTTATTGTAAGACTATGATAAGTTTGAGGGGGAAGTTTCCTTTCCTATTGCTGAAATTTCAGAGCTAAACTTTAAATTAAAGGTTGCTGAATTCAACAGTAGCATCTCCCTGTTACAGACAATTCAGTTCATAATTATTGGTCAGATAAAACAATCACCATTACACCTTAGTGAAACTGCAGTGTAGACCGGGTGGTGGCCGCGCACGCCTTTAATCCCAGCACTCGGGAGGCAGAGGCAGGCGGATCTCTGTGAGTTCGAGGCCAGCCTGGTCTATAGAATGAGTTCCAGGACAGGCTCCAAAGCTACAGAGAAACCCTGTCTCAAAAAATACAACAACAACAAAAAAGATGAGGAAAAAGAAAGAGCAGCTGCAGTGTAGGTTTCATGAAGCCACTGATAGTTTTTAATAGTTTCTGTTTGAATCTCTTGGGTAGTTGTTTTTAAATCACTATCTTTTAGCCATGATTTCTTGCTTCATCAACTTTAGACATCATATGCTGTTGCTAGTTCTATTAGGATTAGCTCGGTTGCAGCATTATAACCCTCTCCTTCTGTCTTGTTCTGTTTGAGAGCTATGCAAGTCTGTCTTTGTTTCTTGTCCACTAACAACTATTTTTCTTGCCTTCTTTCTTTATGTAGTAATTAAATGATACCTTTGTTTTTTCTTCCTCTTTTTTATGCTGTCAAGCTTGAACTCAGTTATTCTTTTTAATTCAGTTTTTAAAAATTTTGTTGAGAATTTCATACGTGAGTCCCTTTAAATGTTTCTTGTTGACCTCTTGGAATTGGATAACATATCAGGGTGCTCAGCTCTTTTATTTGTTGTATCATCTTGATTTCTGAGTTTTTAAGTTGGGTATTAGGATGAAAAAGTATTTTGAATCCCCTGGCTTTTAATAATATATTTTGGTATGTGACTTTTTATGATGCAAATATATTTAAAAATTGTTATTTTAAGTTAATAGAGTGAATGTATTGATTTTAAGTGGATTCTTGCAAGTATTTGAAACCCTTTATGATTTTTCACTTTGCAGGTACGGAAAACTTTTTTCACCTTAGCATTTTGTGACTTTTGTCGAAAGCTGCTTTTCCAGGGTTTCCGCTGTCAAACATGTGGTTATAAGTTTCACCAGCGTTGTAGTACAGAGGTTCCACTGATGTGTGTTAATTATGACCAACTTGAGTAAGTAATCCACAAAGAACCTCTTTGCTGCTACTTTGTAGTTAAATTCTCATAATGTGAAATAGCATACCTTGAAAGTCAGTGAGTGATGTTCTGCCAGTACATTTGTTACAGAGAGCTTAAAGTCTGACCAGAGAGGAACAGATAATGCAGGTGGCTCTTCTCTCTCAGATGAAGGAACACTGGCTCTGCTGCACATAAAGCTTGCATTTCGTGCTCTGTTAAGTAACAGCTACTCGTCCTTAGAAACCACTTTTGTTTAGTTTGGGGGTGGATATAGAATAGTGTTTTAATCAAGTTGTCGATTGTATTTTTGAACAGCAAGTCTGATTCTGTGATCTGTTTTATCATTAGACTGTTTTATCATTAGACTGATGTTCTTCCTGCACTCTTCAGCTCTCCCAAGTCTGCTCCACCTTTAGCCCTTTTCCTTTCAGATTTAAATTAGAAACAAGCTTGTTTTACATGTCAATCCCAGTTCCCTCTCCCTCCTCTCCTCCCTGCCCCCTAGGGACTCCCTATCCCATCCACTCTCTGCTCCCCAGGGAGGGTGAGGCCTTCCATGGGGGATCCTCAAAAGTCTGTCATTTGGGACAGGTCCTAGGCCCTTTCCCATGTGTCTAGGCTGAGAGAGCATCCCTCTATGTGGAGTGGGCTCCCAAAGCCCATTCGTGTATTTAGTCTTTCCCCCCTTTTTTTTAAAGGAATATTTATATACAATTTATTTCTTTTTAAAACTCTTCTTTATTCTATAGTATGTCTAATATATTAAATGTAGTCTATTGTGATCTTTTCCTGTAATTCTTTTTGTTGCTGCTGAAAGGGAATTTGACTTTTAAGTTAAATTATGATATATCCAACTTAGCAGCTACTCAGGAGGCAGAGGGCAGCTGGATCTCTGTAAGTTCAAGGCCAGCTTGGTCTATACATTGACCAAGGGAAACACAATGAGTCTGTCTCAGAAAAAACAAAAAGGGTAACTAATCACTAGATATTTTTCTTTTAGTTTTTAAACCTTAAAGCATAGTTTTTTCCCCTGTAGTATATAGAAATTCGCTGAAAAGAACAATTTGTTTTAGATCTGAGCTTGTTCTTGAAAGTACAATGTAATTTTTTAGACAAAAACATACTCAATTGAATTTTAACAGTTGTTTGCTAATGTAAAACTTGATCTTGTATTTTTCCATTACCTCTGTGTTATTGTGTATTGAAGCTTCTGGGTTTTGCACAAGTTAGGTTTGTTTTGTTTTGTTTTGTTTTTGCCTCACAGTTTGCTGTTTGTCTCCAAGTTCTTTGAGCATCACCCAGTAACACAGGAGGATGCCTCCTTACCAGAGACTGCCCTTACATCTGGATCTCCTTCTGCACCCCCCTCAGACTCTATCGGGTATGACTTGATTCCTGCTGTTTAATGGCATGCTGTTTGAACTGCCTGCCTTCCTTTGGATCCTTTGGGTAATTACAAGCCTTTCCAACACTGGAACTGTTAAATTATGGATACTTTCCCCCAATAATATGTTTTATCCCAGCATTCAAGCATTTATATGCATTTGGTACAGAATGGGATTAAAAGCCTGGTAATCTCAGCACCCATGAGGCAGAAGCAGGCAGACCTCTGTGAATTGGAGGCTGACCTGGTCTGCACAGTAAGTTATCTTGAAAAACCAAAAACAGACACAAACAACCAATCAGTCAATCAATGATATTAAAGCTGGTGTAGACTATATATTAAGATCAGTTGTGAAAAAAATCAACACAAAATTTTTACACTCTGTCTTTTATTTACCATTTTATCAGGTAATGTTGTAACTTCTGCTTAAAAAACTAATAAACAAGTTGATGACAATTTTTTAAAAGTACAAATAATGATAAAGTATATTAAACTTTGATTAAATATTTTGTATTTATAGAATGCAAGAAGATATAATGTACTCAAGAATGCTTAATGGAGATGAGATTTGAAAAATTGCTCAAAACTAAATGAACTTAGGGTATGAAAGTTGGTATTAGGGCCCAGAGAAGAAAGCAGATTTCAGAGCTAGTCAAAAAGCTTATCTAAATTTAGAAGTAGCATGTGTGAGGCCTGGTGTGGTGCACGCTTCTAGAATCCCAGCACTTAATAGGCTAAAGCAAAACGTTGGTGAGTGTGAGTCCAACCTTTGCTACATAGTGAGACCAAAGAACTGGAAGAGAAAAAATGCCGTGTGTGACCAGGTCATAGAGAATCTTGACATTCAGGCTAGTATTTACTCGAGATATGATGACATAAGAGAATAAAGGTTTTTCGAACAAGTCACCAATGTGATAAAAATTACTTTAAAGGAAAAATTCGCTTAGCAGTGAAATATAGATAAACAGGGAAAAATAGGGTGAACACCTAAACTTCAAGGGAGGCAATATGCAGAAAGGACGAAAGGAGAGCAGTAATAGTGCCATCCGTTTAATAGGAAAAGCAAGATTTACTTTAAAAGTATCCCCAAGGCATTATATTCATAGTAGGAAATAGACAGTTATTTAAGTTGGCTCTTAAGTATTTTTTACATGGTCTGTTACTTTTTCCCCATTATATCTAAGGCACACCTCCATGTGTGCACCATGGCACATGCACACCTGCAAACATACACACTAAGTTTTAATTATAAAACCATTTATTTTAGCTATAATCTTTTTATATCACTAGCAAATGCAACCACTCTGTAGTTTTGTCAGATTTTAACAGCTATCTCGGTTGGCTCTATTTGTATGTTTTGTAGACAATCGAATCAAAGTATTGTTGTTTGGCTATGGCAATTTCTCCTGACAGAGTCTGTAGACCTGTGATGTTTTCCTAATGGCAGGTCCCAGTTCTGTGAACAGAATTGTAGAACATAATGTAATTAGCTTGGACTCTCTGAAGGGTCATATGGTAAAAATACAGTTTGTCTCCAAGTAAAGGAATGCTGTTTTAAAACTAAGAAATCAGGGCTGGAGAGATGGCTCAGTGGTTAAGAGCATTGACTGCTCTTCTGGAGGACCTAGGTTCAATTCCCAGCACCCTCATGGCAGCTCACAACTGTCTGTCATCGCAGTTCCAGGGAACCAACAGCCATGGCAGAATACCAGTGCTCATAAAATAAAATAAATAAGTTAAAATTAAGAAAGCATTTGCCCCTGCCACATGTATTATTTTCTTAACTAGAATGAAATGGATTCTTGTCTTAAAAAATGTACAAACTGTGCTAGGTGGTGGTGGTGCATGCCTTTAATCCCAGCACTTGGGACACAGAGGCATGTGGATCTCTGAATTCAAGGCCAGCCTAGTCTACAAAAAGAGTTCCAGAGAAACCCAGTCTTGAAAAAAACAGAGACAAATGTGCAAACGTGTCTACAAGTTAATTTCCTAATGCTTTTATGTCAGTGTGTAAAATTACATTTGTAAAGATAGTAGCCAATTAGTCAGGGTCCTCTAAGGGAACAGAACTTATAAAATGAACTTAGAGAGAGAGAGAGTATGTAGATATATACGTTTCTAGATTTTATATATATTGATCTATTAGAATTTCTTATAGGCTGTAGTCCAGCTTAGTCCAACAGTGACTGTCTACTAATGGAAGGTCCAACAGTCAAGTGGTTGTTCAGACTGGCTGTCTCAACCGTCTTCAGTATGTCTCAGAACCCTGAAGAAGTAGGTTCTAACGCCAGTGAAGGAATGTGTTTGCCAGTCAGAGGGAGAGCAGGCAGGCCAAGAGAGCAAGCTTCCTTCTTCCGTGTCCTTTATGTAGGCTGCCAGCAGATGGTGTGGCCCAGACGGAGGGTGGATCATCCCACCTCGAATGATTTAATTAAGAAAACAATCCTGCACACGCGTGCTCTGATACTTTAGTTAATTCCAGACGTAGTCAAGTTAATAATAAAGAATAGCCATCATGTCAGTTATGTTCAGTATCACAATATTACATTTGTTACTAGTCCTGACACCAGTTATAACGATCCTGAAACAAGTATGGGTATAACAAGAAATTTTGAAAAATGAATACATTGCCAGTTTAGAATACAAAGTAAGAGATAGGGCTGGAGAGATGGCTCAGAGGGTAAGAGCACTGACTGCTCTTCTAGAGGTCCTGAGTTCAATTCCCAGCAACCATATGGTGGCTCACTACCATTTATAATGAGATCTGGTGCTCTCTTCTGGCCTGCGGGCCTACATGTAGACAGAACACTGTATACATAATAAATCTTTTTTAAAAAAAGAGAGAATTACTTCTTTTTTGTATATCAGTGAACAGAAAGTCACTTTGCTTCAAAAAAATTTTTTTAGTCAAGCCTAAAACTGAAATCTAAACTAAAAGTAATTTTCTAAAGAGTGTTAGAATTAAAAGCCTGTTTGTTTGTTTGTTTATTTATGGGGGGGTTCGAGACAGGGTTTCTTTGTATTGTTTGGAGGCTGTTCTGGAACATTATTTGATTTTGGGGGGGTTAGGCATTGAATCAAGACTTTGTGTAAATATTTGGATATATTGGAGTATGATAATGAAGTATTTTTCATAATTATCATATACTTGCCTTCAAGGCTAGACAAGTTACCTTTTGAACCAAGGCACACCTTCACCCTCCAGATGGTATTAATATATCACATTGATTTCATGTCACAGGCCTTCTGTTTTACCAGATTAAATGCAGGGTTTTGTTTCTCCTTATTTCTGGATCACTGTCTTTTATATACAGTGCTGCTTCCCTAAAGTAAGTTTTATCCTTATGATCATGTGCTCCCGAGTCTGATGACATGCTTGTGATCATATGCTCCACATTCTGATGACATGCTTTGTTCAGAGGCCTTTTGTCACTCTTGGGCTCTGTTCCCCAAAGTCTTATTATATCTTTTCCTACTACTTTTTCCTTTATTTTGTTTTAAAGAATTATTTATTATGTATATAGTGTTCTGCCTGCATGTATGCCTGCAGGCTAGAAGAGGGCACCAGACCTCATTATAGATGGTTGTGAGCCACCATGTGATTGCTGGAAATAGAACTCAGGACCTCTGAAAGAATAGCCAGTGCTCTTAACCTCTAAGCCATCTCTCTAGCCCACTTTCCCTTTAGAATTTCTATTATGTTTATTTAATATGTGTGTATTCATGTGCGTACCAAGGCACATGTGTGGAAGTCAGAAGACAGCTTTGGGGAAATAGGTCTCCAGGGTCAGTCCCACGATTAGGGTTAGTAGCAAACACCTTTTATCCCCTGAGTGAGCTCACTGGCTTCTGCTTTTATATTTTCTTACCATTCTTTTCTAGTTTCCCTTATTGACTGTCATTTTGTTATCTCAAGATTGTCTTTCTAATCTAATAACGATTTACTAAAGCTGGTTAGTTTTTATAATATGGGGTAAATGGTGACCAGTGTGTGAAAAGAGCTTGGTCCATGTTGGACCATCCATGGTTCAGTTGAAATTTAGTCAGAGCCTCACTACATCCTCTGCAAGTAGTAATCACTTCCCTACTCCTGAGAATCTTTTCTTTATACGTATTCTCAGTGTGTGCATCATGCTAGGCTCGTTTAGGGAGGGAGGGGGAGAGAGAGAGAGAGACAGAGAGAGACAGAGAGAGACAGAGAGAGACAGAGAGAGAGAGAGGAGAGAGAGAGAGAGACAGAGACAGAGAGACAGAGAGACAGAGAGAGAGAGAGAGAGAGAGAGAGAGAGAGAGAGAGAGAGAGAGAGAGAGAGAGAGAGAGAGAGAGAGAATAAAAAGACCCTGTCTCAAAAAATAAGGTGGAAAGGGCACCAGTCTCTGGTTTCCCTGTGCACCCCCAAACCACACACCCCAAGTTTTCTGTTTTAATGTTTGCTTCAGAGCTTCTTATTATATGATACTTCTGTCTCTGGTGTTTATAATTAGACATTAAAAAACATTTTGAGTATGTAGGGTAATTGGCACAATATTATCTTCCAAAGTTCTGGAAATTATCTTTAAATATTGTAGAAATTTTGTTCAACCCTGGCATTAAGCAGCAGTTATCTCTCTGGGGTCCTGAGATATACAGGTGTATTCTCAAAACTACTTGTAATTTCCTATGCACTTCCTTAAATTTTTCATTCGAGTCATTTCAGGTTATGAGAAATAGTATTTAAGAAACAGCATATTTTATTCAGCTAGTCTCTGCCTGGAGCATTTTATTTCTGAATATAGTTTTCAAGGATAAGGGCTGCCTCTGCTGGTTAACCACCAGTAATTTCTAGCCATTTATAGACTCCTGGAGTTTTCTGGATCAGAATCATTGTTCTTCTATTGATGATAGTCCCTGGAAGGTCTGCTTTTGAGCAAAGGTAGTACTAGTTGTAGTTAATGTTTTCTAAACACACTTTCTGTGGAGCTATTACTACTGGAATTTTGAGTCTTCAGAGATTATCATATTAAATAGAAAACTCTTGTAACTTTCATTTTAAGTATTATTATCTATACAATTGCTCCAAATCTTATTTTCCAATGACTTGATTTTTCCAGGCCCCAAATCCTCACCACTCCATCTCCTTCAAAATCCATTCCAATTCCACAGCCCTTCCGACCAGCAGATGAAGATCATCGAAATCAGTTTGGACAGCGAGACCGGTCCTCCTCAGCTCCCAATGTTCATATAAACACAATTGAACCTGTCAATATTGATGTAAGTACTAGCGTTGCTAGAACTAAACAATTGGAGTGTGCTTCTTTGTTTTTCTGGTATATTTTTAATACAGATTGGAAGTAGAAGCCACCTTTCATTATCATGTAAGTGCTAAGTTCATAGGAATTATAGATCCAGAAGCCCTGTCATCCTTCTGTGACAGTGTTAAGAACTTCACTACTGCCAAGTTACAGTTACTCTCATGAATATAAGAATTAATAGAAGCCTTTCAGTGAATTTATGAAGTCCTCCCTAAGATTTTTGTGCAATTACTATTGTGTTATAGAAATGACATTAAGAATTTATATTTGTTCTGTCATGAGTTTGGCATTATAACCAACAAGTGATTCTGTGTTCATATTTTCTTTCTTTCTTTTTTTTATTTTTTCGAGACAGGGTTTCTCTGTGTGGCTTTGGAGGTTGTCCTGGAACTCACTCTGTAGACCAGGCTGGCCTCGAACTCCCAGAGATCCTCCTGCCTCTGCCTCCCGAGTGCTGGGATTAAAGGTGTGCGCCACCAACACCCAGCATGTGATTCTATGTTCATATTTTCAATCATGTAGTTGGAACTAACTTAAATTTTATTAACTGAAAGAAATACTTTATTATAACTTTTAATTTAATTATCAAGATGAATCTCTAGTAAAGGATTCTAAAATCAGACTTTCTTCCTACTTTTTATTATGGTTTTCCCACTGTATTTTGGAGAGTAAGTTCATTTAAGTGGCTTTTTCCTAGTGCCAGTTTTAACTAAGGCCATCCAGTCTCTATGGAGACCTAAATACACACAGGAAGTGAGAAGTGAGAGAGGGAGTTAGAGAAAAGGGAGCTTGGGAAACAAGGAGTCAAAGCGTATTTGTAGGTTAGGCATGTTCTTGGTGTGTTCAAGGTTGTAATCTACATATGTATTCAAAAACAAACATTTTTCTATGCTATACTTCCTTTTTTTCTGGTGGTGATTGTCCTGGTTTCTTGGGCTTAGCCATTTGAAGAATTGCTTTATGTCTTCTTTCATCCTTTTCATAACTGCCATAATATAACACATTGTCCTCTGTATGTGTGTCTCAAACTGTTCTGACTTATTGATACCACCATTTGATTCCATAATCCTTCATTTGAACAATTTACTGCATTTATTCCTACCATTAATTTTTCTTCATCCATTTCCATCCTGATGCTCTCACCAGGATGGGTTTTGTTTTGTTCTGTCACTTATTATCAGAGAAAAAAGACTTGTCTTTGACTCTGGGCCCAGCAATTGGAGATTTAGGATGAATTAACACACCATTTTGCCCTCTATGATATCATAGTTTAGTGCATGAATCAGGCATGCAAATAATCACACACAAAATAAATATAATGCTAGTTCACAAAAGGGGTATGATGAACTAACTCTACCTGGCTGGATATAGGAATATTTAGCAGTGAATGGATCACCTTGAAGTTATACTGTAGAAGGTAAATGACTAGGGATTTATTAAGTACACTATGTAGGGAATTATTTTTTTAAAAGTATCTGTTAAGGAAATGTATATGCAATGTTGTAGAGTTGCCTTTACTTGGAGGAATTAATAGTTGATATCATAGGCGTTCAGGGCTCAGGATAGGGCTGAGAAATGGTGGAAGGCGGAAGCAGGAAGTGTCCACACTGACTGATTTCATATGTTACCCTAAAGCAGTGGCAGGAGTTCTGAAACACTGAGACTGCAGCTCACGGCGCAGGTCTTGAGCCTGCTTCCTACCTCTTTGTCTTGAGTACTAGATTTGTAAGTATGATGGTATGCTGCATCTGACCCAACACACTTTGAGTGTGGTAAAGCATCTCAATATTCCAGAAAGCTCTTCAGTAGTAGCCTAACATATGTAAGGGCAGAACTGCTGTGTTCTGGGCAAATAGGATAGATGTTTAAACTCTTGTAGCGTTAGTGGCAAGACAGAGCAAATAAGGAGTTGAGGGAGTAGAGACTATGATGGTGTAGGGTTTTTAGAAGTCATGGAAATGGCTGAGTACTTACTGCGTGTCAGGTAGTATGCAAAGTGCTTTAAATAGATTTTCTTGATCAAACCTCATGAGAAACATCTTATCTTATTCTGAAGGATATTCAGTTTATAAGAGTCTATGAAACCAACCCATGATCACATAACTAATAAATGACTGAAATGGACTTAAGTCATTTAACCCTGGCTCTCTTTTCTCTTAATTTATTTACTATCTGTCAGTAGAAGACAAAGGTTAAAGAGAAGCAGAAGGTAACGGTTCGCTTTCTGGCATAAAGACACTTGACTATAAACCAGCACAGGGTTTATAAAAACCTATAAAAAATTACAGTTTTGTATTTTATCCAGAGTGACTTTAGTATATCTGTGGGAATAGTATGACCTTAAATGGAGATATAACTTAAAGAAAATCACTGTGTGTGTTTCAATCAGAGTATAAATTATGTTACTCAAAAATAACTTAAATTGGAAAGAGTAAAAAACTACCCTGAAGAAAGAAGCAAAAGAAAGCATTTTATTGGGTTTTATTGGGGGCTGGCTCGCAGTTTCAGAGGTTTGGTCCATTGTCATCATTGTGGGGAGTATGGTGGCGTGCCGGCAGGTTCTGGAGCAGTAGTTGGGACTTTATATTTGATCTGTGGGCAGAGATAGACGTCCAGACAGAGTCTGGCATTGACTTTAGAAACCTCCCAGTGACATACTTCCTCCCACAAGGCCACACCTACTCCAGCCTAATCCCTTCCAACAGTTACAGTCCCTGGTGACCAAGCGTTCACACCTATGAGACAGTTATAGTCCCTGGTGACCAAGCGTTCACACCTATGAGCCTGTGGGAACCATACTTACTCAAACAGTGACAGTACATTAAAAGGAATTTAAATGTCAGCCAGACATTGTGGTACCCAGCTGTAGTCTTGGCACTGGGAGGTAAAGACAAGATGATCAGGAATTGGAGGTTTATGATACCCTGGAGAGGGAAGGAGAGAGGAAAATGAGTGACTTTAGACATTATGGCAGGTGCTACTATGCAAATGGTCATATAGACAACACAGATACTGCCAGAAGTTCTTGGGTGGTTTGTTTCTCCTGTGATGCTGAGTCAGCGGGATGTGAGACAAGGGACTAGAAGAGATCAGGGGAGACCATTGAAATATTAGTTGTAGAATACTAGAATATCCTATTTAACTTGGATCAAGTAGATCAACCAGGAGCTTTTAAGAACACGTGAGGTTGAAAAGTGTGAGTTTAGGTTGGGACTGTAGTCATTTCTGAGAGTGGAGAAATCTGCGTTTGGCCATGGGTGCAGGGAGTCCCAGAGCTCATGTAGTGAGCAGGAAATACCTCTCTCAGCCGTGGTCCTTCTGTCTAGAAAGCCCTTTGCTTTTCCGCGTGCCAGGCTCCCTCAGTCCCACACAGATCTCTTCAGCGGCCTCACCAGCGCCAAAACCCTAGTGCTGCTTCTTTTGCCAGTTCTCATAGATCCAGGTGCTGGAAGCCCAGCATCGTCTTAATCTTAAGGTGTACCAAAAAGTCTTGCCAATACCGCCACTTAAATGGTAGTGAATTAGCAACAGACGGATCTCTCTCTTAACCTGGTGCTTATTTTCCATGTGTTTGCATCTCACAGTGAGTTTGTAAACTCTCAGAACCACCAAAAGATAGTGAAGCCACTAAGATGTCTAGGTCTTAGTTTGAAATTATGAGTATTTATTACTTTTTCTGTAGACACTGTTAAAGGTTCTATGTAATACATTAAACATTGTAGTAATACACTAGTAAAGAATTTACTCATTATTTTACACAGTAAGCCTGTTTGCAAGTGGTGCCTATTTGGAACTAACCTTTGTAGAGACATTTGGGGCCATTCAATCCCTCACATGGAATTAAACTGAGTCAATTAACCCAGGTTCTGCAGACTGGGATCCAAATCTCATTGCATGTGGAATCCCTGCTGCTGACATTGTGCTGGAAGCTGAATTTTAGATGATGCAGACCAAGTTCAACGAAACCCTTGTTTGAGCTGTTTTCATTCCCCTTCCTTTTCAATGCGCATCCACATTTTTATGATCATATTCAATGTGCTTTGATTTTGTATTTTATTACATGTAAACATGTTTCATAATTGTTTTGGTAACTGCGTATTACTCATTAAATTGATACACCATGACCATAATATGTCAAAATGCCTATCAGGAAAATAATTATTTCTGATTTTTGGTGTGATGGATAATGCTGCACTAAACATCTTTGTGCATATCATTTTTTCTTCTGAATTATTTCCTTAGGAAAAATTCCCAGAAGTGGAATTACAGGATCAAAGGGTATGAACATTTTTATGGCTCTTAATATGTGCCAGTAGAATTTTCTTTAAGGATTGATGAAGCCACTGAGTGGCCTGATATGGATTGATCAGGACTAATAATCCTTTCATGTAGGGCTAGGCTGGCAAGTGCTTCAAACTTTAGTGTTTATCGTATACACCAGCTAATTTCATAGCCTTTGTTTTGTGAAATAATTATAAGACAGGGTTTGTTTTCAATTAACCCTTCTGCTAATGCATAGTGGAAATTCATTTGTTGTTATTTTTACTGTGTTCTTTGAATAAATGTATTTTACTGTTTGTTTGTAGGATTTGATTAGAGACCAAGGGTTTCGTGGTGATGGAGGTAAGTAGTGATTTTAGGTTTTTTGTGTTTGTTTGTTTTTTTAAAGGCAAAAATGCAATTGCTTTGCTGCTTGTCTCCTTTATAGTTGCTTTTTTCATGAAACAGACACAGAGAAAAATGTGTAGAGAAAACCAAATGGGTTTTTGTTTTTTATAGTAGTTATTATCATTTACTGCTGTCAGAATTTAAAATTATTCATAACACGTAGAGAAAATGAGAAGACATAAAAGAAAGTCTTAAATGTACCATCCATAATTTTAAAATACACTTCCAAAGAGAGAGCCGTAATTATTTTATCTACTTTTTAATTTCTGCTGCCTCCAAATCTGGAGTTGCTAAATTTCTTTTGGCTTCCACTAAATGCTCCACTAGAGGTGCTTAGAATCAGGTTAAATCATTCTAAATCACTCTTTGGAGTTGCTTGCTGCATCTCCTCAGTTTTGCAAACTTCATCAAGCATTTCTCATCAACTTTCTAGAACTATTTGAAATGTACATGTATTTCATGGAATGACCCATAATGGACAATTTCGGTTATCCTCTTACTGGTATAGTAAAGAAAATATGCACATGAGAAGTTGCATTAAGATTTCTTACGTTATTGCCATCTAGCCTCCCAAGTGTGATAGCGTACGCATCTGATCCTAGCTGAGGCAGGAGGAGCTAGCCTAAGTCTACATAGCAAGACTCTCTCAAAAACAAAGCAAGGAAACTCTGTAATAATGTAGCCTGTATATTTTCTAAGAGATGGCATTTGAGACTGTCTTGAAGTTTCTTGCAAGAGGTCTTCTGTGTTTACTGACTTGTCAGCTGACTTGTGTCTTACAAAAAAGACCGTATTAGCTGCACACCATGCCTAGAGCTGGTTCTCACTGTGACCTTCTGTATCTTCAGAATAGGTCCAAACCTAGACTCAGTACTTTATACTGAATAAATACTGTAATAAGCCATATATCGTTGTGGTTCTGTACTCCTGTGAGGATATTACATAACAAGCATGAATTATGTACTTAATATTAACTGTATCACATAGGTTTTCAAGAGTTTTTGTTGTTTGTTATTCCATGAGCCTGCCAATTAATGTCGCTGCCAGTTTGACTTTCATATGTCTTAATAGCTGTGGCTGCTGATAATTTTGCCCAATACATCCAGCATTTAAATGTTTCCATCATGTTAGCATCACAGTTAACTTAGTAAACAGCCTGCTTAGGACCTAAAATCACGTGCCATTTCTTATCCTTGTTATGAGTCACTTTTAAAAAAATTCATTGGGGTTTTTATGAAAGTATAAGCAGATTTTTGAAAAGACGTCCAGGATTACTTTGTGAAGCAGGCTTCAGTTCGCCTAATTTATTCCCCATGACTTCTTTCATTTCTTCTGTGTGTCTGTCTTCCGTGTTTGCCTGCCCCTCTCTTTCTCTTCTAACAGCCCCCTTGAGCCAGCTGATGCGCTGTCTTCGGAAATACCAATCCCGGACTCCCAGCCCCCTCCTACATTCTGTCCCCAGTGAAATAGTGTTTGATTTTGAGCCTGGCCCAGTGTTGAGAGGTAGTTGGGCTCTTCTTTCTTGTTTTCACCCAAGCAAACTAAGTGTAAACTACAGATTCTGTTTGTGCCTCACCCTCACAGCGTGTGTTTGTAAGTGTGAGAGTTTTAAGTACTGAATTTCTGCTTGGCCTGGCTGGAATGCTCTGAATGTGCTTCTCACACACACTCACTACTGCTAGCTTTCTGTATGCTGTCCATTATACATTTTTAAAAGCAAGAAAATTCTGAGTTGGGATTTCCATCTTGCTTATTGTTGTCTTATTTCTGTTTGATCTTGATAATTTCTTAAGTTCTGGGTAGCGTGGGCAGGATTCTTTTTACTTTAGTCCATTAGATGATTAAGTAATACTAATATTTTTTAAGAAAATAAAAAATGTAAGTGGAAACCCCTATGAAAAGGTTTTTATGCTGGGCATATTGGCTATCTGTAACCTTAGCACTTGAGAAGCAGGGGCAGGAGGAAAAACCTCTGCTGGTTTGAGGCCGAAGAGATTTTTATGACACTTTTGACAGTTTTTTTTTTTAAAGATTTTGTAATATAACTAATTTTCTGTTCTTTATTTTTCCCCTTATTTATGATATATTTTGACTAATCCATGAACATAAATTCAGAAAAATTGAATCTACATATGTTAAATTATGCTCTCATGTGAGGGAAGTTAGTAATATAATTGTAGTCTCCTATTTTACCTGTCACATTTTAATTTATTGTTAACTTGTAAATTTAAGATAAAATTTAGGTACCTTATTTTAAATACTTTTACAAGTATATTTACTGTCTCAATATGCTTAGTGACCTATACCTAATATAATGATGGTGCTTTAGAGTTTCCCATTAACGTAACCATCCCATAGATGCAGTAGAGGTCATTCAGTACTCAGTGATGTTATGAAACTAAGCAATACAATAAATAAGAACTGTGCATGAGGCATGGCAAGTGTTACTGCTTTGTAATATTGCAAATTATCAGGGATTTCTATAAAATGTGCTCTAGTTAAAAGAAATTCCAGACACCATTTTCTCTTAGAAAATTGCATATGCATTCCTGGAATTTTCATATAGTGCTATAATATGATGTAATGATTGTAAAACATCTATTCAGATTTAGCCTTTATATATTGTCATTGGCATCCTTACTGTTTGAAAGAGCATGACTCTTTTTTACCCTTGAGAGTAATATATTTTTGCTACTGTGTATGGAAATCTCCATGGAAATCTCAGGCCTATTCACTATGTACTCTGTGGAGTCGTTGCTCTAAACTACTCTGTCCCATGTACAATGTGTGCTTTTACTAACCGAGCCTACTTGTAAACTTCACATGCCTTATAAACTATTGCTATGTGGCTGAAATGCAACTGGAATGCCATAGCATTTATCTGCTCACCTTTATAATATCAAGTTTTTCGGGAAGTCTTGAAAGCCTGTTGAGCAGGGCTGGAGAGATGGCTCAGCAGTTAAGAGCACTGGCTGCTCTTCCAGAGGATCAGGGTTCAATTCCCAGCAACCACATGGAAGCTCACCACTGTCTGTAACTCCAGCTCCAGGAATTCCAACACCTCCACACATGCAGATAAAACACCAGCGCACATAAAAACCAACATAAATAAATAATTTTTTAAAAGAAGAAAGAAAGCCAGGCTCTGGAGAAATGTCTCAGAGGTTAAGAGCACTGACTGTTCTTCTAGAGGATCCAGGTTTGATTCCCAGCACCCTGATAGCAGCTCACAACCAAAAGGGATCTAATGCTCTCTTCTGTCCTCCACAGGCACCAAGCAGACAAATGGTACACAGACAGTCAAAGCATCTACACACAAACAAAAACAATAATATAGTAACTTAAAGAAGAAAGCCTGCTTAGCTTTGTTTATGTTAACTTCGCAATAAAGGCAACCATCTATATTTAATAGAAAAAATTCCAAGGATGGCTGACACTACCCACAATCTCTTAAATAATAGAGCTACAGTTTAAGATCATATGTAAATTTAGGGCTAATTTGTAAGAAATATTTTAACAGTAAGTCCATTAAAATATTTCAATTTTGAAGTTTACATGTTTTTGAAATATCGAGGCTATTGAAATATACAAAATAGTTTATTTTGTAGAGTTTTGCATTGTTTTTGTTTTGTTAGTTTTCTCTTTGTTTTTTGAAATAGGGTCTCTCTATATTATGTGGCCCTGACAATCCAGGAACTTATTCTATAGACCAGGCTGGCCTCCAGTTCACAGAGATCCACCTGCCTCTGCCTCCCGAGTGCTAGGATTAAAGTTGTGTGGTACCATGCCAGTGCATTGGTTTTTTATCAAAGGCACAGGAACTTGGTAGTAAATTTTAGAAATTGTGCCTTGGTTTAGAGATTGTGTTTTTCTAGACTTGTTCATTAGTATCTATCATAACAGTCATTAAATTGGCCAGAAAACAAAAATAAATTTCAGTACCAGTCACAAACCGTGCCTCTTTTGGCCTGCGCTTTGTGAAAGGCTGGTGTTTAAATGTGCATTGCATTTACAGTGTAGATCTCCCACTCTCTGCCCCTGTTAGGTGAACATGCTTGCTCCTCCTTCATGCTTCCTCCTGCTCAATGGGCATAATTCCCCTTCCTCTAATGCAGGGTCCACTCCAGGGTTGTCTGCCACCCCACCTGCCTCATTACCTGGCTCACTCACTAACGTGAAAGCCTTACAGAAATCCCCAGGACCCCAGCGGGAAAGGAAATCATCCTCCTCCTCAGAAGATAGAAATCGAATGGTAAGGATGTGTGATGAATTTTTCCTATAACCATAGCCAAATACAATTGCCATCTAGATATAACAGGACTGTGTGATGCAAATTTGAGTGAATGGTTTTCTTTGCATGAAACATAGTCACACAAAACTGGTCTTTTGCTCCTGTTTGTAATCAAAGTTTTAAGAGGTCATTTTGAAAGGAAAATAATGATGTTCTATTTCTAAAATAAGGAGGACGAGTATAAACAAGGACTCAGAAAGCATGATTAAGTTTATATGTTCTAAGTATCTACCAAATGTCATTCTTCCATATTAGAAAATTAATTTTCCGCTATTTTTACCTTACCAAAGGAATTGATATGTTGATTTCTTTTTATCTTTTTTTTTTCTGTTTTGATGATCAAGTCAGTTAAGATATGTAAGGAAGTCTAGCGCCAACAGTTAACCATAACATGTAAAGTTTTAGAGATTTGAAGCCAAACCTAACCACAGATATATAGTTGTTATCTTACCTCTGTAGTCCTCCAGATACTTAAAATGCCATTTTGTTTTGATTTTAAGAATAACAATGTGGACAGAAGTTTCATTCTGTCCAGTCCCTCAGCTGTTTAGTCACAAATAAACACAAAGAGGTTTATATTAATTATAAACTGTTTGGCTAATAGTTCAGGCTTCTTATTGGCTAGCTCTCTCTTAATTATTATCCCATAACTATTAATCTGTGTGTCTCCACATGACCTTATCTTACCGGAGAATGTCCTTATTTTACTGGAGAATGCCTGGGTGTCCTATCTTTCTGGTACTTTCATGGAGTCTCTCTGGCAACTCACTCTCTCCCAGAAGTCTCCTCGTCTGGTAGCCCTGACTGTCTATTGGCCAAAACAGCTTTGTTTAACCAATAAGAGAAACATATTTACAGCATTCAGAAGGACATCCCCCATCATAACAATACGTATTTCTACATATAACAAATTATTTTTATTTTAAATTTTTTAATTAGTACTTTATTATTTTGTGTATGTGGGTGTTTGACTGAATATACATTCAGTATAACCTGTATATGTCCAGTGCTAAAGGGAGCCAGAAGAGTGCAATGGATCCCCTGGACCTGGAGTTATGGGCGGTTGTGAACTGCCATATGGGTGCTGGGACTCGAACCCAGGCCTCTGGAAAAATAGTTGCTGCTCCTAACTTCTGAATCATTCTCCAGCACCAGTTATTCTGTTAAGTAGTTTCCCATCCTAATACTGACCCATCTTAAATTTAATTTTGTGTTTTGAGTCATGATTGTAACTTTTGCTTCCTCAACATGGTGGCATTTTGTTATTTTCTTTCCTTGCTCTCTTCTAACTTCCTGTCAGGCAGCAATGTATTTAGCATGAAACGTAAGGATTTTCTCTTTTGTTTGCCTTGGCTTGACTTTTACTGTATTTTTTGAGAAAACACTTGGTAGACGAGATTCAAGTGATGATTGGGAGATTCCTGATGGACAGATTACAGTGGGACAAAGAATTGGATCTGGATCATTTGGAACTGTCTACAAGGGAAAGTGGCATGGTATGTATGTAATATGGTACCATTGGCACAAGTAGGATATGTTTAAAATCTTTTGTTTTAAAAATTCAAGCCAAGCCAGGCGTTGGTGGCACACGCCTTTAATCCCAGCACTCGGGAGGCAGAGGCAGGCGGATCTCTGTGAGTTCGAGGCCAGGCTGGACCGACAGCCTCCAAAACAATACAGAGAAACCCTGTCTTGTAAAACCAAAAAAAAAAAAAAATTTCAAGCCAAAGCTGGACATGATGGCTCATGCCATTAATCCCAGCTCTCATGAGGCAAAGGCAGACCAGCCTGGTCTACAGAGCTAGTTTCAGGACAGCCAGGGCTACACAGAGAAGCCTGTCTTGAAGAGTGGAGAGGAAGGGAGGACAAGCATCATGACACACACTTGTATTCCCAGCACTTAGGATGAGGAAGCATGAGCATTAGGAGCTTAAGCATCCTTAGCTATGTAGAAAGTTCAAGGCCAACTTGAGCACTACAAGAGACTGTCTCAAGAACAAATACAAAGTCAAAATTATTCACTGTTGTCATTATTAAACTGTTTTCGTCAAATGCAGAAGTCCTCAAAGGTTCCTAACAAAAATGATGGAATGTAAAAACTGGCTTCACAGTAGTGAAGGTGCTGTCAGTATTTTACAGTAAAGATTCATAAAGATGAAGATCATTGAGCTATATAGTCCTAAAGGAAGTTTGTTTTCCTTTTGAAAGCATTCCTTTTGAGCCGGACATCCTTAGTCTACAGAGGCGAGTTCCAAGACAGCCTCCAAAACAGTACAGAGAAACCCTGTCTCAAAAAACCAAAAAAAGAAAATAGACTTGAGCACTCAGTAGTAGAAGGTTTGATTAGCATATTGATGCATCCATGTATTGTTATGTGAGTCAAAATAGCTATAGGGGTAATGGAAAGGTGTCTAATATATTATTTGAAGCCACATATGTAATACCTTCATGAGCACTGAAGAGATGGCTAATGATTAAGAGCACTGTCTGCTCTTCCAGAGATCCTGAGTTCAATTCCCAGCAGCCACATGATGGCTCACAACCATCCATAATGCAATCTAGTGCCCTCTTCTGGCCTGCTGGTATACATGCAGACAGAACACTGTATATATACATAATAAATAATTTTTTAAAAGACCCATAAAAATATCAATAGTATAAAAATGCTATATGAATTCTCTCATAAGGTTATCATTTGATATTCATTCATTAAGTATTAGTACTGCATATATAGATAAACATAGGATATATACATACATGACAAGGGTTGTTTCTGAGTGGCATAATTATGGGAAGTTTTTATTTATGTTTCCTGAAACATATAGGTATTCAGCAGTATTAGGTGGTATAACTGAGAATAAATACTATATTACTTTGATAGTTAAGAAAAGGATACAAGCCGGGCATTGGTGGCGCACGCCTTTAATTCCAGCACTCGGGAGGCAGAGGCAGGTGGATCTCTATGAATTCGAGGCCGGGCTGGTCTACAAGAGCTAGTTCCAGGACAGCCTCCAAAGCCACAGAGAAACCCTGTCTCGAAAAACCAAAAGAAAAGAATACAGTGTGTGTGTGGGGGGGGGTCAGATAATTAAAACATATCAAACCAAGTAAATAAATTTGTGATTAATAAGCATAACATTTCCAGCCTTCTAGAAGATCTCCTCATGCCCTCCTCACTCACTCTCCCTGAAAAGATAACATCCCGACTTAAGTAGAATATAATGTGTTATCCTTTTTGTTTGCAGTATTGTGAGACCCATCAATGTTGTTGGATGTTTGTGTGTCATTCATCCTCTCTGTAGTATTCCGTTATGTGACTGTAATGTGATTTCTTCCATCTGCTGTATAAGAAGCGTTTGGGTAGTTTCCAATTTGGTGCTATTTTGAATGATGCTGCAGTGTATATTTTTAGTATATGCCTTTTGAAGAGCATATGTGTATATTTTTACTGGCTATATGCCTAGGAGAGAATTATAGAACTACACCATATGTATACTTCCAGTTTTATAGATACTCCCATCAGTGCTGCCAATAGATTGTACCAATTTACACATCTACTAGCAGTGTGTAAGAGTTGAATTTCAGCCTGACCTTGGTGGTATACGCCTTTAATCTCAGCAGGAGATAGACGCATGTTGTTCTCTGAGTTAGAGAGCCTGGTCTACGGAGAAGAGTTCCAGGACAGCCAAGGCTACACAGAAAAACCCTGTCTCAAAAATAACCTCCCCCCCAAAATAGTTAAACTATGATTATAATTTTAATAATTTTCCAGTCAACAGTATAAGTAAGTCATAACTTTGGAGGAACATTTTACAAGTTTTTATTTTAAACTGAGTTCCATTGGACTTGTCACGTCCATAGTTTCAGCATACTCACTTAGTAAATAACACCTCATTTAATTACAAAATTTCTGAGTACTTAAATTGGCAAAACTCAATTCCCAGGAGAAAAAAAACGTTGACTATTTTAGTTTATGTTTTGAAATAGTAGTATAGAAGTAGCATTGTTAGTTGCTTTGTGTAGGGTTGGAGGATGTGTGTGTCCCATTGTCCATGATTTTAAAAAAAGGCTGCCAGTAGTGGCATACACCTTTAGTCCCATCACTTAGGAGGCAGAAGCAGGTAGATCTCCGTGAGTTCAAGGCCAACCTGTCTACAGCGCAAGTTCCAGGACATCCAGAGTTGTTATACAAAGAAATCCTGTCTCCAAAAAACATTTTTTTTAAAAGTAAAGTACAGTTTATTACTAGGTAGTTAAATATAATTTATTTTACTCTGACAATTAGCAAAAACATCCATGAATATTTCGTATTTATTTGAACATTGATGAAACATGCTTTTAATCCCAATGGAAAGCAGAGGCAGGCAGATCTTTGTAAGTTAGAGGCCAGCATGGTCTACAGAGTGAGTTCCAGGACAGCCAGAGAAACCAGGGGGAAAAAGTCATATTTTATAATTTGAAAATTTGGAATAACAATTTTCTTTCAGGTGATGTGGCAGTAAAAATGTTGAATGTGACAGCACCCACACCTCAGCAGTTACAGGCCTTCAAAAATGAAGTGGGAGTGCTCAGGTGAGCTCGTAGATCCCTGCTTTCCAGTGCATTTACTTCAAGTAGAGAAACAATGCGCTACTTACATTGTTTTCCTGATATGCAGTACCATTTAGAACTGTGTGTAAAAGACATATTCCTAGACTGAATTAATAGAAGTAAGTATCTGATCGTGTATAGTAATAGTCCCTTTTACTCTAAAAATTCTAAATGTCTCAAAACACATTTAAAATTGTATTAGTCCTGGGCTCTAGGACTTGAGGAATATTGACAAATGAGAGTAAATTCGTGATGAGAAGACTTAATAGGGAAGATTCTGGAGTTATAACTTTATGTGAGGGGAATGTTCAACAAAACTGAGATTTCAATACAGAGAAGGCTGTTATATTCAAGAGGGTACATAGTTACTCTGTCTGACATTGCAGGGAGCAGAACAAGGAGGTTAGTTATGGAGATTAGAGGAAAATGATTTTGCCTTCACCTAAGAAAACTTCCTACTATGTTTAGAACCACTTAAACAAAAACAGCCTCTACTTCCTCACACAATACATTTAAATATATTTCTGAATACAGTTGTAGGTTAGACGAGATAACTACAGATTAACCTCATTTTGTTCCTGGTACTTTTTATTGAGAACATATTATTGGTAGACTGACTTGGCTCCCTTTAAGGAATTATTACTCATTGTCACATTTCTTTTTTACAGGAAAACGCGGCATGTGAATATCCTGCTTTTCATGGGCTATTCAACAAAGCCACAGCTGGCTATTGTTACCCAGTGGTGTGAGGGCTCCAGCCTGTATCACCATCTCCACATTATTGAGACCAAATTTGAGATGATCAAACTTATAGATATTGCACGGCAGACTGCACAGGGCATGGAGTAAGTTGAATTCGGTTAACTCTTCATATATGACTTTTATAAATGACCTAAGGATACTTTAAAGGCATTAATAATACCTTTTATGGGTTGCATTTTAAGTTTCGATGTAAGGATACTAATAGCTAGCACTAGCTTATTAAAACAGTATTTCTCTAGTTCAGCCTTTATACAAGGAGTGAAGTGTTTGATAAGAGCTTTATAATTGCAAGTGATGATTAGCACTCCATGATTTATGTGAACAGTGGAGGTACAGAAAAGCAGGACCCCCCAAAAAAACAAAGCAAAACATTACCACTAAAAAAAGTCATTACTAGTTAATGGAAAATATGTGACTATTATAATCTGTGCTTTCAAACCATTTTCTCTTACATGCCTGTATTTTCTGCTGCAAAATAACCAGTTATTAAAGTTTTAAATATCTATATTCTGATCCTAGTTGAGAACATCAATTTGAAACATGTATGTCTACTGAGTTTTGCTTTGTAATTCAAAAGATACAGGTTAAAATTAACTGGGGTGGGTGTACTGGCACAGTCCTTTAATCCCAGCACTCAGGAGGCAGAGGCAGGTGGATTTCTGTGAGTTCAAGATCAGCCTGGCTTACAGAGTGAGTTTCAAGACATCCAAGTTTACATAAAAAAGACCCTGTCTCAAAACAACAACAAAAAAGAATTGGCTCAAGAAAAATTTTGCATAAAACCCTTCCAGTGGAATTAAGCAGTTGAAAGATAGAATTTAGGGCTGCAGCTGTAATTTAGTAGTAGAGCACTTAAACAGCATACACAAACCCTAGTGTCAATCCCCAGCGTGAAACAAAAGAGAACAGAGAAGTTTTAAAGGTACTTCACTGAGACCAGGCTTGATTCATGCCTTTAATCCCAGCATTCAAGAAGCAGAGGCAGGGGGGTCTCTCTGAGTTCCAGAACTAACTAGAGAGACTCTGTCTCAAAAAAAACAAACAAAAAAGTACTTAGCTGAAAACAATAAGATATAAGTTTGAAAGCTCTATAAATAGTTTAAAGTATATCTTAGTATACAAATTACTTCTGTGTGTATGTATTGGTATGTCATTTAATATTTAAAATGTTATTAAGTAGATATTTTAATTTCCTTTTATTGGTAAGGAAACAGACTTTTAAGTAACTTGTATAAGTAAACCTGTTAGGCCACATGTTTAGCAAAGTTATTTTAACTTAAGATTTCAGACTAGTTTTCCCCATAATCACTTAGGCTACCTTTACATTAATAAAATTGGAAGAAAGGGGTAAAAGTGAATATGTCTTAAACACCTATAACTCTCCCTCAAGGTCAGCTACAGGAAATAAGTATGAAGTCAGATACCCAAACCATATCTATAACTATATCTATAACTCTCCCCTCAAGGTCAGCTACAGGAAATAAGTATGAAGTCAGATACCCAAACCATATCTATAACTATATCTATAACTCTCCCCTCAAGGTCAGCTACAGGAAATAAGTATGAAGTCAGATACCCAAACCATATCTATAACTATATCTATAACTCTCCCCTCAAGGTCAGTTACAGGAAATAAGTATGAAGTCAGATACCCAAACCATATCTATAACTATATCTATAACTCTCCCCTCAAGGTCAGCTACAGGAAATAAGTATGAAGTCAGATACCCAAACCATATCTATAACTATATCTATAACTCTCCCCTCAAGGTCAGTTACAGGAAATAAGTATGAAGTCAGATACCCAAACCATATCTATAACTATATCTATAACTCTCCCCTCAAGGTCAGTTACAGGAAATAAGTATGAAGTCAGATACCCAAATCATATCTATAACTATATCTATAACTCTCCCCTCAAGGTCAGCTACAGGAAATAAGTATGAAGTCAGATACCCAAACCATATCTGGTTTCTCAAGTTTTCACCTTCCCTCATTCAAAGCTAGGCAATAACTTTACAAGTCTGTGTTCAGCCAGAATGCTTTATTACTCATAGTGAATCAGGAACCGTTCTATTGTGTGAAGAGACACCATGACCAGGACTCTTACAGAAGAAAGTATTTAGCTGGGGCCTTCTTACAGTTTCAGAGGCTAGGTCCTAATATTGAATAACGTCCTTAACTTGTCTACTCACAAAACAATCTCAGCCTTTTAATAAAGCAAGAAATTTAATCTACTCAAATCTAAAAGTGTGTAGTTAAAAACTTAAACAAAACCCCCCGGCAGAAACTGTCAAGAAAGAAAAGCAGAGCTCATTCAATTTCTGCCCACTGCTCTCTGCCACTTCTGCAGTGGGTTGAAGAACGCACACCACCCCCACCTCAGCATCTCTTTATTCGTTCCTTCTTTGGAATATTTGTACCACAAATACCTTTACTTCTGTTCTCTGTTATTTTTACATACGTTTGTTTGTTTGTTTTTCAAGACAAGGTTTCCCTGTGCCTCTGGAGGCTGTCCTAGAACTCGCTCTTGTAGACCAGGCTGGTCTCAAACTCAGAGATCCGCCTGCCTCTGTCTCCCGAGTGCTGGGGCTAAAGGCGTGCGCCACCAATGCCTGGCTTTACATACCCTTTTAAGAGAGATTGTTTCTGTGACTGATGTATATAACCGTGTCCCCAACCCACCTTACCACTGTATCCTAATTCTACAGACTTTTTAAAATTCTGTTGTCTCCACTATATACAAACTGGGCAAGAGCAGGGGCTTTGTTTTGCTTATTGATTTATAGCTGATGCCTAGACGGGGTCCTAGCCTGTGATGGATATTCAATACTTATAAGTAAAATGAAAAAAAGGAAGGAAGGCAGCAGACAGACAGACATGCATGCATGATTACACAAAACTGTATATTACCCATTAGTTTGCTGTCCAGAAAGAAGATTCAAATTCTGTTCATATCAAAACTCAGAAATGTTTAAAAAGTGAATGAGAGAGAGAATGACAGAAAAGAGTTTGTGATAAAGACTAGTATTTATAATTATTTTGAGAAGATAGGCAGTTTAGTGCCAGGGTTAGTTTAAAAAGTGAGAGTAGGGAAGAAGCCATGAAACTGAGTAACTCCAAAGAATTATCGAGGAATTGCGGATGCTACCCCATCACCTTACAGTCTGGATTCTCAGTGTACTTGCGACCAATCTTACTTTTAAAGATAGCCTGCTGGAGCAGGCATGTACATCTCTCCATTGGACTTGTCCTGCGTTTTAGTAGCTGAGAAAGCACTATTAAGTTTTAAGCCCTCTAACAGAGTTTACTTTTGTTTGGTTTTGGTTTTTAAGACAGTGTTTTTCTGTGTAGCCCTGAGTGTTCTGGAACTCACTTTGTAGACCAGGCTGGCCTCTGCCTGCCTCTGCCTCCCAAGTGCTGGATTTAAAGGTGTGCACCACCACTGCCTGCCCAGAGTTTACTTTTTAATACCAGTTTAAAGTTAATGAAAAAAATAAAACACAATACCTTTTCTGTTTTTTTTCCCCCCTTCCAATTGAGATGTTAATTTGCATCTGCTTAAATGTACCAATATATTGTTGTTTCTAAAGTCTTTGACAGATTAAAACTCTTGCTAAAATGACTAGGTTTTGGGTTAAAGTGACAGATTTTTTTTCTCTATCTTTTCAACCCCATTAAAATGACAATGAAGAAATATTTTATAGAGGCTTAAACTGGTAAGACTGACTGAGAGAAGACAGTAGGAACAGTTTTGAAACGTGGAGATCGAGTGAGAACTCATAGTGGGTAGCAAAACTAAATCAGTGAGAACCGAAGGAAGCCATCGTGTGTACCGCACACGCACAGACTGGCTTCAGAAGCTGAAAGCCATCGTATGTACCGCACACGCACAGACTGGCTTCAGAAGCTGGCTCTTCCTGCACTGGGGAAGCTGTTCTGTTCACCCTCTCCTAACCAGTGCCACTGAGCGACTGGCACAAAGTCTGGAAATGCGTGCCTCAGGATGGGGCATTCTGCTATGTCTAGGACTTGGACATCTTTTCAAGACAGTGGGGTTGGGTGACTGCGTATTACCAAGTGATGCTCAGTGTGCTGCCCATTGCACTCAGTTTTTTGAGGGGAGGGGGACAGTTAGGGATTAGCCCTAGAGTAAGTATCCTGCCACTGAGATACAGCCCAGCCTGTTCTCTTTTTGATTCCCAGATGTTAGCAGCCAAGCCTGACTGGTCCCGCAAGTCTACGAGTATTCTCTAGGGAATCTTACCAGACCAGGAGGACTCACAATAAACCAGACCATGTACTGGTCCCGCACTTAGTCTAAATAAGATAAAATATCTCTCAGTCATCAGATATTAGAGGAGAAGCCTGATAGAAACGAAAGATCAGAGCATCCCGGGGTGGGGGGCACAGGCAGAGACAGAGCCAGTGAAAGCAGAGGGCACCACTTGCACCAAGAGAAAATGTGTCTGTTTCCTTGGGGAGATTAAAAAGTTAAAAGATTTTTTCATTAAACAAGATGCTTTCTAAAAAGAGTTTGTAGCCAGGCGTGGTGGCACGTGACCCCAACACTCGGGAGACAGGCAGGAGGATCATCTAGTCTACAGAGCATGTTCTGGGCCAGTCAAAGCAGTATTCTGCCTAAATATCATTACCATTGAATATCAGTATGTTTAAATGTTGATACTTGTAGCATATCGGAAATTGTACCCTTTTCAATTATTTTAACCTTTACATGCTAATTTAAAATTCACAAGCAGTCATATGGTTTGTTAGAATTCATTCGCGTTGTCTTCAGCAAAAGAAGTTTAAAATTACTAGGCAGTGGTGCTGCATAGCTTTAATCCCTGCACTTGGGAGACAGAGACAGAGGATCTCTGTGAGTTCGAAACCAGTCTGATCTATAGTGTGAGTTCCAGTACAGCCAGGACTATACAATGAAACCTTGTCTTGAAGAAAAATAAAATAAAAAAAGAAGGAAGAAGACATTTCAAACTATTATACAATTTTGCTGATTGCAATGGCATACACAACCTGTAGCCACTAGCACTTAGGAGCTAGAATCAGGAAGCTCAGAGTCTAA